TAAGTATTAAGTATAATCTAAAACAATAGTGTAACTATGATATATATATATATATATATATATATATATATATATATATATATATATATATATATATATATATATATATATATATATATATATAATATATATATATATATTACAACACGGGGCAAAAGAGCATGCGGCTCACCTGATGGTAAGTGACTACCGCCGCCAATGATAACCCACGACACAAACGGCATTGCAGGTGTGCTACCGGCCTTTTAAAATAACTGTGGACACACTTATTGTTAACAGCTTACACTACCTACTATATAAACTCCAAAACTAAATTCGATTGGTGAAAATCAAACCATATTGTTACTTGTACTTAACCTATATTGATTACAAATGTTGACCACATATCAAGGATGATTCGGAGATGTTGTTAAATACCGGCTAATACCCCAGTGAAAGGTACTTCGTGCCCCTGTAGAGCTGCAATGTAGAGGTTCGCTTAGGCAGACCGCATAAAATTCCTAAGTAATAGATGTTACCATAAGAACGCGAAAATAAACATACTGTATATATTCCAGCGTTTCTTGGAAAAAGGAGTGAAAACTGAGAATAATTACCCACAGGAAAAAAACCCTTTTGTGGACTACTTATATGGTACGGTCAAATACGAAGTGAAACCACGGCGATATTAGAAACGGGAACATTGTGGGATGTTAGGCTGTAGGAGTCTAGTGGAATCCATTCATCTCCATCAAAAAGGGTGCTAGCATGAAACCAAAACACGGAAAAAAGTAAAAAATTGTTATTTGGTCCCTTACTTATATATTAATGTTGCAGGAACTAAAATGTCACTAAAAAGACTACTAAAATCTTACTAAAAAAAGTAAAAGACTATCTAAAATGTTATTCCGTAATTAATATTTTTATTTGACCAAACAGTAGACATGACCCATTAAGGTGAACTAAACAATTAATTACCTAATAATTCAATATGATGTAAACTGGACGATTTTTTTCAATGATCAGTGATTCCATTCCTATTATAGCAGCCGTTAACTGCCCACCGCTAAATACGAGTATATGTCTCCCCCATAAAGGGGGTTTTGCCAATAGTTGCCACATTTGACAGGATGATTTGCAATCACAGTTAGATTTATGCTGATGTTTAAAGAAGGACGCAGCTACCCATCCCTCAATCGTTTAGTCCCCTTAGTCACCTCTTACAACACCCACGGGAAAGGAAGGGTAGCCCATTCTATACCGGGGCCGCATGGCAATACTTACCCTAAGTAGATGTATATTGGGGGGAAAGGGATTGTTAGTAATGGAAACTGAGAATCCCATTGCTAGCAATATACCCAACCAGGTCGACCTCCATGCGGTTCCCCCTGGAAACTATCATGATTAATTCCTGATAAATTCATCATGATGGGCTAACTGGCCTGTTTTCATCCTCATCGATCACCCTTCACTGGTGCCCCGCCAGCGTATCCCGTTAGCACCATTGCTGGTTACCATTCCATTTTCATCCAATTAAAAAAAAATGTATATTAATACTTCAAAAAATTACCGCGTGATTTCTCCGCGCGTAAGTATATAACTTCATATAATGTCTTTGTTGTCCCTAAAGAACTTGTTGTTAAAAGATATCTATTTAAACATTAAACAGATGCCTACACTTAACTATTTATAATGTAAATCTCTTCCTATGCATCCCTCTCGTTATTTCTCGTATTCAATGTTCCAGAAGATTCACATGTTTCCAGTCTGCGATTTCGCTTTCAATGCACTTTATATACGTCTCATTTTATGCAACGCTATTGCAACCTGTGCAATCATTTCAACCTTTGTATAACTATGTAGGTTGTTACTTCAATAAGATAGGTATTCTATTACTACACTATAATAATATAATAAATATGTTCCAATGGATATAAAGGATATACATTTTATTATTTGAATATCTAAGCAACTGAACTTGCTCGATTCTGTTAAATTATTCATGTCAACAGCATTAAACGTAGAATTGTTATTTCATACTTTTACTTTTCTTTCTTTGTGAAATGATTTTTTAATGGATTAAGATGGAATATTGCACCTGTCTATGCTTATGATAATGACGAAACATCAGTGGTGGACCAAACGACAGGATGAAATTAAATCAATCAAGAAATTCAAAACTTTTCAAGGGTCCGCGTGGAAATCGACCTGCTCCTGACCTGTGGAGTATATTTACTGACAACAGGAGCGATAATGCACATTACTAAAAATTCCCCCTACCCTTCCCCCTACGAACATGATTGTCCAGATAGCGATATTATATCATGTGTTAAAATCATAAAGTCATTACAAACATAATTGTCATCATCAATCGCAAACTCCCTAAAATATATGAACTAGAAGCCAAGCTAAACTCACTTACGCGATTTGAATTAAAGCAGTATCCTGCAAAAGCCTAGAGACATGCTCGTGCATGCATGCAATAGGTATCATATCTATTTTTTAGTCTAATTAGAACATATCGTAAGATCTCTAAATACAGCTTCTAATTATATCATTTTTAATTTAATTTTTTAGCCATCCATACTTATCTATTTCCATAAATCGTTTATGTTAACTAACAGAAGTTTAAAAAAATATAGATATAAATGTGCCTCTAACAAGTTACATTTTTACCGTACTTTTCGGAGCACTAATATTATCAAAATGTATGTAAAAATTACCTAAGCTTAATATACGAAATGTAATTACGTGCCTTCTCATACAGCTAAAGAAAATTTCAGCGGTTGCTGTGCTGTTCGCTTCACAGGATTTTTAATATCAGGCAGCACAAAGGCTGGATACCGTGTTTTGTTTGTAACTACTCTGAATGAAAGACATTCAGGGTGGTCACAAACAAAACACTTAATTTCCACTGTCGCAACCAAAAACAGCTTTAACTTGGAATAGCTATTGCAAGACTCTACTTAGTCTCTACGTTGGTCGTAATATTTTACTAGAAATTCACTATAATTTACGCTTATTGTAAGTAAGCACTTATGTTCCAGTCGCAGCATATATTAAATCTAGATCTATGGGTATACTATATTTAAAAAAAATACAATGACAAAACCGCTTGCGCTCTTGGTTTACCATCACGGAGTGCCGATGACGGACGATAAATGAGGATAAAAATAGTACTGTTGGGCCATCATAAATTTGCCAGAAATTAATTACGATGGTTAGGGGAGTTATGCGCTGCATGTTTTATGTTTTCAAGAGACAAAAATTTGAGAGAAAAGAGAGAGAGAGAGACAAAAAAGAGAGAAAAATTTGAGTATACTCATGACCATGGTTGGTATAACCTGTGGGGTTACTCTTGAAATAAATTCCAATAAATGGATATTAGAACTGAGACATTTCGCACTCGATTTGCAACACTAGCGACATAATCGTTCCAAATTGTTCTGATAGATGCCTATTACTGTAACTTGCCAATGCAAACTATTGTAAACCGATCCCAATTATAACCTAAATCCTAACTGTTGTGCATGAGTGCAGTATAAAATTGTCATTGGCAAAAAATTGGATTGATACTGATATTAGATTCAAGAGTAAACCGGCTGGTCGAAACGTCGAGATATTTCAGGTAATTTAACATTTTTTTTTATTATTATATCAGCCGGTAACTATCCACTGCTGGACATAGACCTCCCCCATAGAGACACCAGTTAGGCTTTGAATGTTTTAAGGACGTTGCTGCAAATTTCTCGCCATTTAGTTCTCTTAATCGCCTTCTCCTGCTTTGCTAGCAAAACCCCCCTGGAAACCATCGTGTTGAATTCCAGGTGTCATCACGATGGGCTAACTCACCTGCCTTTTCGTTTACACCTATCATCCCTCACTGATATACCGCCAATACCGTTAGCGCAGGGGGGTTTACCATTCCATTATCATGAATTAAAAAAGAATAAATTAAAATACAGCTCGTTACTCCCTGATAATATTTTTTTAAGTGAAAAAATTTTTCAATATTAGTTAAGTATTTTTGAGACCAATGTATCAAATCTTTCCTCTTTATAATAATCATTTAGTAAAATGGAAATACGGATAGTAGTGGAACGTTTGTTATTTCGGGCAGTTCAAAAATAAAATATTTAAATTGATACTACCTATAAACGCAGGCATTTCTTTTCATTTTCGCCCTTGAAATTTTTCCTTTATTTTTATACCCAATAAAGACTTCATTAGATATTAATTGACTTGCATCGCCGCATAAATTTATATTTAGATATTTAATGTAATATGTTATATAATCTGCTCTAAACTTTCCTATAACGCAATAAATAGTTATTATATTTTTATATTTAAGTGATTGTTTTTTTTTTTTTGAGTGTTTAAGGTGATTTGTTTAAGTATCCCACCCATGCTATTAGGCACAGGTGACGGGATGCCGTTCATGATGGGTGCACCGTGTTAATTGGGGCGCAATACACCGGGGACTGCTAGTAAGATGGATATGTGGTCATCTTCAGAGCAAACAAGCCTTGTTCTCTGCCAGTTATGAATATATGCCGCTCGAAGGACGACCAGTCGCCGGTCATGTTTCGTATAACGCGTTATTAATATAGTCACAAAAAACGAGTGTGAACCGTCGTGTTCAGATGTTATTAATGGCCTTTAAATTATTTAAGACGAACGAATCGACTACGAATTCTTTAATGATAATAAGTGATTTGTTAAAAACACAGTTGATATAGTAACTTTGTTGATACAGCTCTCCTGCGTGATTTCTTTTTTTTTACTATACAGGGGGCAAACGAGCATGCGGCTCACCTGATGGTAAGTGACTACCGCTGCCCATGGTCACCCACAACACCTACGGCATTGCAGGTGTGCTGCCGACCTTTTAAAAAGGAATATGCTCTTTTCTTTAAGGTTATGTTGTCGTATCAGTTCGGAAATACTGCTGCGTGATGCCACATTATTAAATCAAATATGATACGGGTAAAACATTAGATAAATTTGAATTAAAAAAATCATTCCTATAGTGATAGTGATTATTAATATTTAATTAAATATTATAACAGAAATATAATCCTTATAAATAGACTTCTTAAGTAACAAAATGAAACAGTCGTATTTAATTAGACACTAAGTAATAACATATCTTAGATTAATTTATACCTACACAAGTAAATACTAGCGATTACTAATTCTCATTTGCGTGATCCCACGGGAACGCAGTACTGCGATAAACATCTGTATTATGTGACAAATAAATTTATTTTATTATTTGAAACACAAACATCAACAAATACAAACAAGACACACTGCCAGACGTTACTATCGCCTTCTATTACATACATGTGGTAACGAAAATGTGTCTATCAATAAATTTGTCACTTGTCCTAGGAAAGCGGAGCCATTGCTCCAAAGAGCTATGTACAACTTTAATGATAATAGCGTCATAAGCGCATCATTACACAACACAGCACTTATATAGACAACTTAATAAACTGTTTTAATGTATTACATACTGTATATACTATTGAAAACAAACAGTCCGCCCATCTCATGGGAAGTGGTAATCACCATCTATTGATATAAACACAGTGATATCTCAGATTACACTGTAACACCTATAGCACCCCTTATAATTCTACCTCTGAAGATGCTGCACTTGGTTCAACACTAACTTTCATTGTGCTTTCAATAGCTCGCCGAAACCAAAGTCACATTTGGGTATCACAATATCGGCAATTCTTCACTTATTCTCAGTTCAATACGAGTTTCACAAAAGTTTTCTGTGCATGTCAATCGTTGTGGATCTTCATTGGATCAGTGAATTGTGCTGTCAGTATATAGAACAATGCTGGTGCAGGTACCAACGACAAATACCATAGTTCTTTGAATCCTGTTAGAGATATAATACCATAAGCATGCACAAGCCAGTGTCCCATTAAGATAGTTAAATTTCTAGTATCAGTCACTGAAGATATCAGCAATGCTGGTGCAGATTGGTCGATTTTCACAGAAAAATGAGATGCTGATGTGATCATTGATATTATAATTATTATGTACGGGAAAGAGCAGTCTGAAAGATAAAAAAAAATAATTTAATTAAATATTATGTATATATATTCAGCATAATGGTATTTTAGATAGTAAAATGTAATAATGTCAACAGTGAACAATAAATTATTCATAATTAGCTGTAGTGTGTTTAGTCATGGCTTTGGCTGCATAAATCCTTAGTAATATGATAGTGAGTTTATTTGTTTCTTATGTTATAATGCCTTAAGAGCATAACTAATCACTATGAAACTTGGTATACACATAATATACAGGACATATTCTTTCATGGAATGAAAACGGAATTGCAACCTCACCTACATGTTAATATATTGATATTGCAATCAGAGCACTAGTAAGTAATAATAGTTCAGAATGATTTCAGGTCAGTAGGCCCATCGTGATGAATCTTATAAAATTTTGAAAACTTTATAATTTTTTTATAAGTAGCTACTTTATAAAATTAAATCAAAAATTTACTTACAAATCAAGCCTGCAGCAACAGTATGGATCAGTATGAGTATGGGATAGAAGTAAAGTGCACAGTATATTGCTTTTTTACCAGAGTTGGAAGAGTGAAAGGTCAGGAGCCAAGGTCTCAAACTGATTGTCATTAGAAGGCTGAATGCATATATCAACAGCACTACTGTGTACCTGAAACATGAAAATACCTGTGTTGATGAAATTGTAAATAGACAATAAGTTTTTCTTTATGAAATAAATAATACAAGAAATAATAATGTTCTCATACTTCTTTTCAATTAATATTTTTAATATTATAAAATGACCAATGGTACTTGAAAAGATTGAGACAAACAAAGAAAGATGCATCATATTAAAGAGAAAAAAAGTAATCTACAGCTAAATATTATAAGAAAAATGGTGTTATAACATTACTCTATTTTCATACTACCAATAAATTATCATTAATAAACAAATGTCATAATAAATTATTCTTATTTATTATTGTTTATACAAAAATAAACTGCAGGAAAAGCAATAATTTAAGATATTGCCAATGTCAACAAGTAAGTTCTTTGCCTACCCTATAAAGAACCTATCATATTAAAAAGGAGAAAATTCAATCATCTATTTTTAATCTTGCAAACAATTGCAATTTACTATTTTTTTTTTTTTTGTATTTGTTGTAGGAATTAAATAAGATAATTTTACTGTCTATCTTTATAAAACTAACTTCCAAACTATCTTTCAAATATTAATTATGACAATCAAAAAAATTATGAAACTTACCATCTACACCAATGATAAATCTATGTATCATGCCATAATGATTTAATATTGGATATCCAGCTTATTGACCGTTACCAATTGTACAAAAAATTAAAACAAAAGACTATCAACTTACAATGGATACACAGCTTCTTGTGTACAATGTAGTGTTTCCTTATAATCAGGTTGTGGATTGTGCAGTAGTGTATACCAATCAGAGAGAGCTTTTGGTGTGCAAACATACAGAGCTACTGTGCCAGTTGGAGGCAGCACTAATAGAGCAGCCAATGTACCAGATACAATTTCCACAAAGGCACATATGTGTTGAATGAGAATTCCTTCTTTGCTGTAATTTCAAATTAACTTATATTTAATTTTTATAAAAACAATTGCAGTACTTAAATGACTGATTAATCCATATTATGAAATACTAGCTTTTGCCCAACAATTACATTTATGTAACCAGGATGTCTTTATTTACAGGGATAAAATATAGCCTATTGGATGTTGTTCTACATTTCACATAGTATCTATGTACCAAATTTCATAATGACTGATTAAGCTAATATCACAGATGGGACGGGACTATCATTTCAGTTACATCTACTTAATAATTGTATAAATGCTTCCAAGAAGTTATATTGACTGGTATATTGGGATAAATATTTTATAAAAATTATATTTTTACTTATAGTAATTAAGTAATAATAATAACAAAAAAAGTTGAAAAATTACTACAATGACAAAATTAACTGATAAATGTTATTTTCCTAAAGAACTACTTGTAATTATCAAATAGAAATTTAGAATAGCATAAAATAGATACCTTTTCCTAGTAGCCACAACATCTATAAAGAACCAATGTAGAACCATAGGAAGCAGCACCATAAAACCCAAGTACTGCCAGTCGTAGAGCGTCGGTTCATCAGCGCATGGCATGCAATAACTGGAAGCATTAGTACGATATCCTCGGGGGCATGCACCACAGTCACTCCAACTACCATCTTCCAGCTCAGTCCGCCCGCAGTATAGACCAGGGCATGTTCTCACTGCTGTCATTATTATGATTCTAAATTATCCGCAAATATTATTGTGAATTAGAATTTATCAAACTCCAGTTATCTTTAACAAATCAGTCAGTGTATCACAACAGTACAGTTAATTCTCACTTTAATTTTATATGAATGGTTATTTAGTAAGGCGATTTAAATCTAAAATATGCGAAAACTCGATAAAATCACAAATTATTACTTTATATAAAGCAAAATAGGTAAATAAATAAAAATATTTTGTTTAAAATCCTCAATCCATATCTAATAATAATATCGACTTTAGACAAATTGACAGAACACTTGTGACAGGTTGACACTTGACATTGATAGCTTATTTTTAATTGAAATCGATGAAAGCTACAGTAATATCATACAGGCATAACTATATCGTACCTACGTTAAATTGAACAGCAATCTATAAAGTCATCAGAATTGTTATATTAATATGAATATTATCGATTTATCAAAACAAAAAGGTTATATAACATAATAAATGCAGCAAAAATACAGTGTTCCCTAATTCTTATGCACAATACAAAAAAAATATAATAACAGTACTTAACATTTTCTTGTTTAGAATTCATCAACAATCAGATTAACTTTACTGACTACTCTTTATCTACGTTTATTTAAGGGAATTCATTATCTACCTATCTTAATGTAAATGTTCTATTTGTAAATATTCTATATAGCAAAAATATTTAAAATTAAAAATCGAGCATAGATATCTACTAAGATATAATATCTGCCATAATATACTCGTCATGCATAATTACTATTAATCGTAACAGCCCAATTTTTCTTAAGAAAAGATTATTATTAGTGGAATCACTAGTCAATAATTATTATTACTATATACTATATACTTATTTGAAAGATAGATTTCAGTACCTCAAAGACTCCCATACTCTTATGTGTATATTATATTTATATTGTGTATTGCCTTAATGTGTTACTATAATTGTCACATATTTTTCACCACATCTGCCCTTCATACGCTTTCTGTTTTTACCCAATGGTTAGCTGGTAGAGAATGCCATATGGCATTAAGCTCGCCATTTGTACAAAATTTTATTGTGCAATAAAGAATAAATCAAAACGATTTATATAACATATTGGAGTTCATAGGACTATGATGGTTCCTAGTTAGTTCCTCATCGCATAATATTTGTAAAAGGGATTGAAAATATGAAACTCATAGTAATATCAAAATCGTATATTTCTCAAAATTTCTCTTACTGAAAAAAATAAATCACTAACACTGCATCACATACATACTTATAATGATATGTAGGTATGCCATTACGTAAGTAGCTAAATAGTTTACAGAGCTTTATATTTAGTACCTAAATTGGGTTTGGTGGCAAAACGCAAACGTAACCGCCTGTAAATGTAACGTAGAATAAGGAAAGAGAGATAAAGAACAAACAGACATCCAGCCAGAAGATAACTAAGAAGATCCAACATGTAATATTTGAAGAAGGTGATGCCAACTGCTGGAGATCGGAAATGACGAGCACCCTTATGACGGAGAACGTACTCAGTCCACCACACCGCACTTTCTGGGCCAGATATAACAGGGTCGAAGATCATGTCTTTAAGTTTCACTATTGCTTTCTTGTACCTAAAATAAAAATTGTTAATTAAAATAAAAAAAAAAATACTAGGATTACCGGATTCAGCTGGATACGACATATTGTTGCAAACTTGTACTACATTATATGAAAACCGCGGAGACTGATAGCGTGACACGTGTGTTAAGTACCTTAACACTCAAAAATAAATTATATCACAATAACTATAGTACCATAATTATCATAATAATTTTATATCTATATTTATACAATTTTTATTATACTATACTTAAATCACACAATATACATTTCATGGCAAGTCGCTTACAAGATAGGTAATCAGAACCAAATGCTAAAGACTTTTTCCTTACCTACGTACGTACCTCTTGTACCATTCTCTTGCATTATATAAGTTATCGAATGCATATGCAAACATTAACAACATATTGAAAAGCCAATAAATTATTACAAGTATTCATATCCCCGACCGATTAGACTGATCACCAGTAAATACTATTAGGTACCTATCTCTGGTTAAACTTACTTTTCATTAGTAGCTACTGCTGAAATTGTTGATTTAAATGTCTCCTTATCCAAATAGTATGGATCCAAAACTTCTCCAGCCCCAAATTTAGTGACTTCCTTAATAAACAGTTTTCTTGATCGGACTACTGGTAAACCAATTATTGGTACTCCATAATAAATTGCCTCCTCTAAGGATCGAGTTCCTCCTTGGGTTATGAACACTTTGACATTGGGATGTGCTGAAATTCAATATTTGTTTTAAGTACTATAAAAAAATAAAATGTGTCTTTAAATTGGTATGTTATTATTGTTTAGGAAACCAGCCCATAGCGGTACTCCATCATGATACTATGTATTTTCCATTTCGTGGATAATAACCGAGTATTGGGCGATCCATATTTTTATGATAAAAAAAGTATTGTTTCTAATAGAAATGGTTAAATCATCGTCAACATCATCATATTAGGCTTTAACTGACCACTGCTGAACATAAGCCTCCCTCTTGGGAGAGTTGGCCTGTAGTTATCACGCTCGGCAGGTGGATTAGCAACCGCAGTTAGGCTTTAGAGATGTTTTAAGAGGGATTATGGTCTAATAATTCAAGGTAATATATTAATTATTGGGGTTGTTTTTGCGTTTATATCAATAATATTATTTTTATACCAATAAATTATTATTAATAAAAAAATTCAATTTATTTACCCAAAATCTCCTGTTGAGGGAACCACGCCTGGGCGATAATATTATCAGCCTTGTTTATCATTGTTGTATTGCCAATCTTCCATAAAACTGTGAAAGGAAGTTCACGGAAAGCTTCAGCAAGAGTATGAAGAATCGGAGTCGCCAGCTGTTCCGCTTCTTGAACTACTCCTAAACTGAAATACACTACACCCTTTGTAGACGAGTCCAAAAATGATTTTATATTCTGTAAAAGAAAATGCAATTTAAAATAGAGGTCAAAAATATTAATTTCACAATACAAAAATTATAAATCCTAATCAACCTTACCTGAGGTAAACTAACACCTGGTTTTATATGCATACGATCCACAAAAATAATTGCAGGCACAGTTGGTCTATTACCCACTAATATTGGATTGCTAGCTATAAAAAGCATATCAATATCATATTCCACTTCTTGCAAGTCGCGCTTAAGGCCAAGGATCTTCTTAGCAGCTATTTCACTTAAAGGTAGATAGTTGTTGTAATATTCATTCTTGGTTTGGATGTGTCGATAAAATTCTACTATTTTTTGCCAACGAGTCAAATTTTTGTAATTCAATGTGTTGACATCTGGATACAGTATAGGATGTATTGGATTACCTTTTGCTTCATATTGGTGTATTTTCCCGTTCGTAGCCGTAATAGAAATATGGGGGACTTTGTATTTTTCAGCCACTGCATACAAAAGTGGTACATCGGCCTCCGTGATAACTAAGTCAAATTTTATATTTGGATTTATAAACAATGCCGTCATTTGCTTGGACTTCAATTGAGCTATAGCTATTTTGAGGGAGAGTTCATTGAGTGCTCTCAGCCTTGGGAAGTAATCGTCCACGTTACTCATTAACCTCCTGTACTCATCCCAAAATGGAGCTGACTCCTGCCCAACGTCCAATTCGATTATTCTCTCTGTATCTGGATATTGGAAGTTACCCGGATATGGTGTCATTACAGCAACAGAATGGCCTTTTTGTGTCAGTAGAGAAATATATCCTCGATATACAAGATGATCAGAAAATGACAAAGATGAGAATAAGGCGAGTATCGATGCACCATGTACTGCATGGTTGCAGTATATTAGAAACAACACAACACATGGGGTTTTTAACCACATGATATCTATATAAAATAGTAACACGAGTCTAACACTTCAGTTGAAATGTTACCGATCACTGCGAGTCGCACAATCTAAAGAATGTAACTTACGACGTCTCGACGACCAACTGTGCAAATATAAAATTAACAGATATACAAGTTGAAACGTTCACAAGGACTTTAATAGAGACAAACATGTATTGAATGAGTAATAAAAGGTACAAATGTAGCAATAAATAAATAATAATTCACGAAAAGTTTCATCAAAGCAGAACTAGATAAATAAGGTACCATTCTTTACAAAAATAGATAAGCGTATGCCGTCAAAAATGTTTTAGTTTTGCAACTAATATCTAATGTAATATTTATTCATATCCATATATAAAATTTTATGGACAGATAAAATTTATAATAGGGGTGTTAGTAAAAAATCTCAGAACGTACTCAGAGGTTACTCATCTGCAACCGAGTCTGAGATTTCTTTCACTAATAAAAATCCACATTAATTTTGGGGATGCAATAATATTCTCAGAGATCCTGAATAATAGGTTCACAACATTTTTTTTTGTAGGAACTACAGACAACGACTTCGCATAGACGAAGCAGCAACGTTGCTATTCCTTTATTTACTAATATTTTATAGGTATGTGGAAGTTCGTAAAAATGTTTACATAAATTTCTAGCGGTAAACCATAGGAAATAAGTAGTATAAAATAATTTGCATACATTTGAATATTAAAAGAATAACTACTAATATTTGCAGCAAACTCTATTTAAATAAAAATTGTTTAAAGTAATTGAGTGGAGCGTTATATGTAAATTTATGATCTATCTACCTACCAATAGATAACTAACGCTTGTTGCCAGGCTTGTCTTAAACTGAAGATGTAGGAGATTCAGACTTTTTGAACGAATGATAGTAAAATAGTAACCCCGCCAGCGCTGTCGGTGTATGTTGGCGGGGCACTAGTAAGCACAGGTGAGGGTAAAAACAGGTTAACTACCAATCTACCAACTACAAATCAAAAAAGGTTTCCAGAGAGAACCGCATGGATGTCAATCTGAAAGGGTATATTGCTAGCAATGTGGCTACTAATCCCTGTAAGTAACTATCCTATCCTCCCCAAAAATTCGGACTTAGCGTCAAGCTACTGAATCATTTTGCCTAACGCAATTGTCTTGCGTTTTTAAACAAAATAAAGTAAATCATATATAACTTTAAAAGCAAAATAGACTCATACGAGAATTATACGCGATACATAGATGATAAGAAAAGTGGGTAAATTTCTCAAACGACTTAGGTACCTAACAGCGACGTGACTATTACTATATTTATGTCACTAAGAAAGTAAAGTAAAGGGGGTAAAGAGATTTCTTCAGGTAGGAGGCTTCTCTGGTATTGCAGGCGTTAGACTACGCTAACCGCTTGCCATCAGGTAGGCCGTATGCTTGTTTGCCACCTCAGTGGTATAAAAAAAAATATATAAACGGCAAATAAGTAATAATAAAACTATAGAATATTATACCTATGTCCTGATTAAATAATAGTTTTATGCTAGTTACATGAAAGAAGCTGCTGGCACGGTTAGCACCTGCCTAACACCTATTTGTAGCTCTTCATGTATTTGTTCTCTTCAACAAACCAATTTTCCTAATGACACTATTAAGTAAAGACTAAGAACCTAGCTAATGACAACCGGCACTACCGTCGTACTTATGAATCGTGATATTCGTAGGTAGTTTTTCCACAGATTAAGGATAGCACCTGCTTTTCCTATAACGTTACCATAGCAACGATTTAATAACAAACCAATATTCGCGCTAATTCGCGTACTCAATTTTGTACTATTTCGAAGGAAACATTGAATTGTATAATAATAAATAAATTTATAATAAATAAAAATTAATAAATATGGATAATGATGTAACAAATTATTCAGTGATAGGACGTATTGGTGAAGGTGCCCATGGTCTTGTGTTTAAAGCGAGGCATTTATCAACCGGTCGTGAAGTGGCGTTGAAAAAAATTCTCATTAAAAACCTTGAAGATGGGATACCAGTTAATGTTATGAGAGAAATTAAGGCATTACAACTTTTAAGATGTAAATATGTAAGTATTTAGGTCTAAAAGTCGATGTTAATTGTAAGTACACAGTTGTGGTATCTTCAAAAGTCTGTCCTCAGTCATCAGGTCAACTAAAATATAAAAGACGGCCGTCACATCGAATAAGATGTAAAATTTACAAGTATTGTATATTAAAACTGAAGTATGTATGGTTTATATATGGTTTCATTTTGGTTGAAATAATTTTCTTATAAAATTTCTATATAGGTATTATTGAAAAATTTACAAAACTCTTGATATCACCGAACTTATAAAAGACACGTTATAAACGAGTATACCTATTTAAGATCTCATTAAATACATACATATGTCAACACATATACTAGTATTTTTTTAATGAATGATAATGGAATGGTAACCCCGCATACGCTAACAGTGCACGCTGACGGGGCACCAGTGAGGGATTGAACATGTGAGAATGAAACGGCAGATCAGTTAGCCGATCATGATGAATACACCTGGAATTCGGCACGATGGTTTCCTAGGGGAAAACGTCAAGATCGACCTGACCGGTATATTCCTAGCAATGGAACTGATAGACCTAACAATTCCTTATATATACACGAGTATTTAACAAGATGATTTAAATTTGAACTATTTTTTTTCAGATAATAAAACTTTACGACATGTTCCCTCGTGGATTGAGCTTGGTATTAGTATTAGAATATATGTGTTCAGGTTTATGGGAAATGCTACATCACAACCAGCAAGAACTGACACTCCCAAGAATAAAAACGTATGTGCAGATGTTACTTAAAGGAACACGTTATATGCACGCCCATTACGTTATGCACAGGGTAGGTTAAAATAACCTTTTTATATTTACCATTGCACAAATACTAAGTGTCATTATTACCTAAAAATTTATTCCGACTCATAAAAGGTCTTCATTGCCACAATTGCAATGGATTATAAACTGAAAAACACAATTTTTAGGAAGATAATCTCATTACTCTGTACAAAACTCTCCTCTAAAAGATGGAATATAGCCTACTATTACCACGCACTAGTGTAGCGTTTTTTTGTTTAGTTTTATTATTCTTTTACAATTAAAATGTACTGTACTTTGTTCCCATAGTTGTCTCTTGCGATAGTCTGAGGAAGTAAAACTATGGTGATTATGGCACTGGTATGCTTACTTCATCAGTATATGGATGAATGGCAACACCAAGGAGAGGGTCTACCCTCATGTATTCACATTCGTGAGAATTTAGGAGTTAAGTCTAAGGGGCTAATATAGAGAGCTGTATTAGCTAACAATTGCCCTATTTTTATTATTTTCATGTTCCATACTTATGTATTTAAGGGTTCCACGCCACCGAAGAAAACATTGACTGGCAGGTGTACAATATTGTAAATGTCCTTACTAGCATTGTACATTTATAGCACAGACTTATTAGCTTTTACCCGCGACTTCGTCCACGTGACCGAGTTATGTTTATTAGCCGGGATAAAAAGTAGCCTATGTCTTTCTCCGTCCCATATAATACATGTAGGTATACCAAATTACATAGTGATTGGTTAAACCGTTAAAGCACTATAAGGTGCAAAATAAGGTGTAAAACAAACAAACTCACTTTTACGTTTATAATATTAGTAAAGGTTTAACAAACTTATTCTAAGTAAGAAGTTATTCTATTAAAGGACTTGAAACCCGCAAATCTTCTGATAAATCACGAAGGCATCCTGAAGATAGCAGATTTAGGTCTTGCACGTCTGTATTGGCCTGACGGTGGCAGACCATACTCACATCAAGTAGCCACAAGGTAGGTAAACAAACCTACCTAAAGTAAAACCTATAAGAATAAGTATAAACCTAAGTAAACAAATATTCATTTATTGTAATTTAATATATACAAAGTATATCTATTTTACGCTATTATGCCAAATTTCTTACAAAATATACGGAGAAATTAAAGTGCACTTTTATTTTAAAAATTCGTTTCTAATCAAAATCTATACCTAACACGATAGGTGAGGGAAGGGATTGTTAGTAATGCGAACCACCAGTCCCATTGCCTAATACACCCTGTCAGGTCGACCTCCACGTGGTCCCCTGGACATCATCGTGGTGAATTCCAGGTGTATTCATCAGAATAAGCTAACTGACCTACCTTTTCATCACCTTTCACTGGTGACCCGTCAGTTAATAATATTATTTTTAGATGGTACCGTGCTCCAGAGCTTCTCTACGGCGCCAGATTTTATACAGAGAAAGTGGACTTATGGGCAGTGGGATGCATTATTGCTGAATTGATTACTAAGCAGCCGTTGTTTGCAGTAAGTAAATTAGTGCTTAATTAATGAATAATTTATTTTAAAAAACAAAACAAATCTCTGAATTGTATATCACCTATCTGCATTCATACGCCAAATAGATAATAGTTTCATTATTTTTCTGATTAATGAAATGAAAATTATACTCTGAGCTAGGGATGGGTAATTTACAGCGATACTTATATATTGTAGTAACAGTATCTGTATATTGGTCCAATAAAAGTTATGTTGGTAGGTATATATCGGTAGTCTTTTTTTTAATGGATGAAAATGGAGTGGTAACTCCGCTTGCGCTATCGGCATACGCTGCCAGGGCACCAGTGAGAGGTGATAGATGAGGGTGAAAACAGGTCAGTTAGCCCATTGTGAAGAATTCCGTAAGAATTAACCACAATGGTTTCCAGGGGGAACCGCGTGGAGATCGACCTGATAGGGTACATTGCTAGCAACTGTCAGGTCCTATTACTAACAATCCCTTCCCCACAATATATATCAATAGTCCAATATATAATATTGAAATGAAACAGCCGATTGAAACGAATGGAGATATCCGACTGTTATAAGCGATATCTAAATGGGTAATGACATTTTTTCCACCATCAATTTCCAGAGGAATTTATATTATAGACATTGGAACGGTACGGATATCACACATGCCTACTCTGAACTGTCTGACTAGCCTGTGTATGTCCCAGCATAGAATATGTCATCCCTTCCTTTCCCGTGGATGTCGTAAGAGGCAACTAAGGGATCTCGTGGTTGAGGGATGGGCAGTAGCGGCCTTCTTAAAACATTACCAAAAGCCGAACTGCACTTATCAACTCACCTGCCAAGCGTGACAAATACTGTTAAAATTGCCCGAGGGAGGATATGTTCAGCATTGGACTGTTAATACTCGTAGCTGATACAATACCTCTGAACTATCTATTGATAGCTATTATACCATACATACCTCAAGTATCAACTCTCATATAGGTACCAACTTGAAGCGACCAAATTCGCTATAATATATTCGGGAAATATTATTTTATCTAGCTTTCATCATTATTATTTCACTAAACATAAGCCCCCCTAAAGACATCCGTTGATTGCCTGCAATACTTTTGAGGTCACTTCATCTAGGCGGATATCGCCCTATTCTTCATTTGTCTTTACGAGTCAGTCTCTTTTTACCAGCAGGAGACTTTGTACAACAATTGTTTGCTTGGGTACCTCTGTCCCATTCGTGTTTCTAGCGTGAAGCAGTTGTGTTTACATGGCTGTGTTTCGATTTGAAGGGTGGAATATGGCAGTGAATTTACTGGGTACAGAAGCATAATACCTTAATTCTCAGGAATGGCAATTTATGGGGGTATCATGAGTGAAACAGTACAGTCTATTCTCTATTATATCTGCTCATGTCTATACACGACGGTTACCACTTTCAATCAGCTTGTTTGCCATTATAAGTTGCATAAAAAAAAAAATATTGTCATCGTTCGTATTTTCTAATTATTAGAATCTAATATAACAATAAGTATTTACAGTTTTATAATCAGATTTTTTCATACTACAGGGCGAATCAGATATAGAACAATTAGCAATAGTTTTGCAACACTTAGGTACTCCCACTGAGGAGACGTGGCCGGGTCACTCAGAATTACCAGACTACCACAAGATTACATTTCCTGAATCCTCGCCCACACCTTGGCACGAATTGTTGCCCGGCGTAGAACCAGATGCTTTGCACCTTGTTAAATCTTTTATACTCTACGATGCTAATAAGAGAATATCAGCGAAAGAGGCAAGTATTGATTTCCTTTTAATTATACTCTGGACTACACACATCTTCATGACCGGAATTAAAGTAACCTGTCATTTTCCTTCTCAAATAATGGGGCCGATTTTGAAGCGCTATTTCTCTAAATTTATCTCTTAATTGAATATTTTCATTCAATAATGTAGCAAAATTACTACTTTATGGATCATCATGAACTAAAATTATAATAATTTTATTATTTATTAAAAAGTTAGTTCACGCGAACTGCTAGACGTGTAAACCCCGGCATAGAATAGGCCACCTCTTCGTTTCCCATAGGTGTCGTAAAAGGCGCTTAAGGGAGCTCACGGACGAGGAATGGGCAGCAGCACCCCCCTTAAAACATCACCAAAACTTAACTGCGTTTGCCAACTCGCCAGCCAAGCATGGCAACTACTGACAAAACCCCCCCTTATGGGGGAGGCAATGTTCAGCAGTGAACAGTTTCTGCTGATAGAATAATTCACACTGGTCCAATAGACTTCGTTATGTTATCAAATTTAAATTTTAAACATAGATTTAGAGAAATAGCACCCCAGAATCGGTCCTACTGTGTGCAGGTACATCAAATTTCATGACGATCTATTAAGACGCCAAGAAATAACAGACAAACACACTTTCACATTAGGATATTTATTGTTAAATAATTTCATTTCAATGCTCTTTGCAAACTATAAAACTCCAAATCTGTTTTGTCAACAGGCCATAAGGCATCCCTGGTTCCAAAACCGGCCTCTTCCAGCAACAATGGATGAAATGCCAAAACCCAGTGCTATTAAATCCAAATAATCATCTAATAAATTTAAGACTCGAAATATGTTCTTTGATTACTTCGGAATGTGAAATCTGGTGCTTGTTGATACAAGTAGCATATTAAATAGATAAATAGTATCCAATACAATTTAAATATGGATAAAATAACAGTGTTGAATTTCAGAGTACAATAGATATAGTAGGGGTGCTACATATCAGCAGCGTCGGCCTGGCCATATAGTCGAGGTGGCTTTTGCCAGCCAAGCCCCAGCCTGCATGAGCCCCCCATGAGCTTGGCTTGCGAGACTTGCGGTGTCGCTACCAACTGATGCAACTACCATTATCTAGTCTCGGGTCGCAGGCTTGTGGTCAGCCACTCGGGCCCTTCCGGCCTAGTCCGACACTGTATATGAGAACAGTGAAACAAACCCTTACTGTACCAATTCCACAACCGACCGAATCGACTTAACATTGAACGTTTTTCTCGTATTCAGCATATTAAGTTAACCTATACCAAAATAAGATAGCTACTGTATCGTGCCTGTCGTGCTACCCGAAACATGCTCGTGTTTAACATAGTTTCTTATTAGATTGTTAATAAAGCGGACTACCAGTTCCATTGCTAGCAATATACCGAGTAAGGTCGACCTCTATTTGGTCGTCGCTGGAAACCATCGTACTGAATTCCAGGTATATTTGTCACAATGGGCTAACTGACCCTTTCATTATCAACTATCACTGGTGTCCCGCCAGTAAACATTGTTAGCGCATGCGGGTTTACCATTCCATTATCATCCATTTCAAAACTATCTTATAGGTATAAATAATTAACTGAAAATTAGCACCTTCATTGGTAAAGTCTTCTGTATTGTTTTTCAACATAACATTAAATTGGCCAATGGCACTGTTTTTGTACTAGTACAAATGTAACCGATTCCTTATATATTTACCAGTTTTAAATCACCTCTAACACACAGTCAACTTTGGTCATTTTATGAACTCTCATTGTTTTGACGCCATTAATATATCATAGATACGCAAATAACTAAATAATACAAAAAATTAAAATAGATTTTTATTGAAGTTATTTAAATTAAACAATAATTACAATCACTAATTGTACTCTCATATTTTATTTATATACATTTGTGCTAAAATACTATAGCTATATAACATTAGGTACTACAATATTTCGTTTGGCGATTATAAGAAAGTTAAAGTTAGATTTGATGACAAAAATCTAAAAATTAAACTTTAAGAGCCCATTTCCTTATTCCCAATAATCAGTTTATATACAAATATATACGTACATACCTACAGTTAAACACAAAAAGTAAACACACCTAAGTGTTACTTTTACAATACCAGAAAATACATATTGAATTAAAAAATAAGAAACATAAAAAATAAGCCATAGAAAGAATTTAATACTATCAGTTTGCGTAATTCATATTAATACCCATTAAATTACCATGCCTTTATTTATTTTTTCTAATGCTACTAACTACATACCCTGGGATTAAAAAGCATAGAATTTCATAAGAGTTTACTCTAAGAAAGTACTAACATACTAAATATAACAATAAATAGTGTTGTCACAATCTAACTTTAACAAATTTTAAAATAATAATTTCACAAAACACAAAATTTCTGGAAATAACAAATATGTTCAGCATTACAATATATAAGTGATTAAATAATACAACAATTGCTTTAAACATATTTATCATTTCTATAATAAAATTTATCAGATGCTGGCTACATACACTTACAATAAAATGAAAAAAAAAATCAATAGACAAAAACTTAAAAAGCTAAAAGAAATAGTAAAAACTTTTATCACGTAACTCATTCATACAAATGTAATCATTTCCATCAAGAAAAATAACTTGAGACAACATATCTACATATTATTGTTAAAACACTACAAATGCAGACAATTTAAACTATAAGAGATCAAATTAAACGAAAACAAAAAGATATACACAACCGTGTATTTGTCTGTAATCAATACACATAAGGCCGGACCATATAGGCCGGTATCGGTTTGCTGTCGCTCCACTCTCGGTATGGTCAGTACAAACAGTTCGAGAATAAATGGAGCGGGACTGAATTGTAGAGTGAATTACACATTGTTTCTTCATTAATATGAGGGCAAACACCCTTTAAAGCGTTGTGCAAACGTGGAATCTGTGTACACGAAGGTGGATAAAAAAAAATACTCGGCCTGTTTTGAAATTTTGAAAGACCAAATTAACCCATTATTTAGTTCAGTTTAGTTAACTGTGCAAAGTTCAAAACGTGTGCTATAATTAGTTGTGACTTTATAAATATATTTGTCAAACATTTCAACGTAATTTTCGCAAATGAAACAAATTGAGCAGCGAGCTGTTTTTAAATATCTTCATAAGAAAGCAAAAAGAGGTTATCGCCAGAGACCATTCAAGATGAATATAGTCAATACATTAGGGAATTCCGATCTGTCATATTTATCCTTTAAAAAACTAAATTGGAGCGTGGTAGAGCGAGTGCGAAAAACGAACCCCGCTCTGGAAAGCCTTCGACGGCCACTTCTGATGTAAATATTGATATTGATTTAATCATGGAAGACCATAGAGGATTTTTATACCACGAAGATAACAAACAAGCATACAACCAGTCTGATGTTAAACGGTCACTATAGCCTATGGACGTTTACAACACCAGGAGTGAGTGAGAAATTAGATAGATAGCCAAGATTATAGTCATCTCTTATGAAGGAATCCAAAACAGGAATTCGAAATCAACGAGTCGACTTTCTATAAGGTATTAACGAGGTAGTACCTGCGGCTACTTTCAATAGAAAAAAAATGCGACTATATAACGCGTCTGTTTGGAGCTATTTAAAGATGAACCAGATAAATTCAAGAATCGTTTCATTACTATGGACGAAACATGGGTTCATCACAGTACACTGGTAATAAAAAAAAAATCAAAACAGTGGAAAAAAAAAGTTAACCATATCTTAAAAAGGTTAAATCGTTTTTCTTGGCAAATAAGGTGATGACTTCAGTATTCTAGGACTGTGTGAAGAATGTGATTATAGTTGATTATCTACATATATACAAATATACAAAAAGGTAAGACCATAAATTTCAATTACTATTGCGCCTTACTACGTCATTCAGGCGTGGAAACAAAAGAAAAATGTCTAGTAATACTCATACGAAAAGTCCTGCTTCGTCACAATAATGCCCATGTTAACACAACTGTGCAATCAATGACTCAAATTTATCACTGTGGCTTTAAAATGTTACCGCACCCGCTTGATTCATCTAATATAGCACTATCAGACTTTTCTGTTCTCTAACCTAAAAAAGCAATCGGGATATCAGAAATTTTTGACAAACAACGAGGTCCAAGTAGCAGTAGACGCGTATTTTGATTCTAAGTAACAATTTTTTTTTCAACGGTTGGAATACTTTGATGGAAAAGGGTGGCAAAAGTGCATAAAAATTGATGGTAATTACGGGGAAAAATAAAAATATGATTTTGTGTTTATTTTCTTGATTAGGCCGAATATTTTGACTTCGTATAATTTTGCCCGTCATAATATAATTTTACATGTACTAGGACGCGGTTTCGTAAAAAAAATACTGAATTACGTGTTATTTTACGGATTTCCCTATTATCTGCTTTATTATTATTATTACAAGGACGACATGTCACCACACCATCGTAAGCGAAAACAGACGGTATGGTGCATGAATGCGATCAACGGAAAAAAGAATGTTCTACTCTTAACGATTGGCCGCACTCACTAAGTATCGTAATTATTTTAATTCCACTAACATTTGGTGCGGAAAACTGAACCCCATTAAAAAGGGTGTATTTGAACTTCTTTTTCAGTGATCTATCAACAATCGATCTTTATCCTCCGCGGACGAAACGTCCCTCGTTTGCACAGGCATATATTGCGCATAGATTGCAATCAACGTCGACATATCAATATTGTTCTACACACATCAATGACCTTGAATCATCCTTTAATATTATAATTAAAGGATAATTGATGGTCTATATATCGATTAATCTATCGATCATAGATAATTTAGATATTTCTTTACGAGCTATGTTTAACGGAATTTCGTTATATGCCCATCAAGCTATCCAATTCGAATATAGTAATCCATTTTTCAAGCGTTGGCCGCTATATTTTAATTTACATACTCTACAACTTCTAAAACCGGTCTTGTATAAACTCGGAACATAGTCATAGAAAATTATAAAAAATATATAATGTTCTATCTTAATAAATTGGCTGAAAGATATTTATCAGAATCCAATTATAGAGCCTGAACGTAACCTCAAGATCAATCTTTCTCATATAGATATGGTTTTAAACATAATTTTAATAAAGTATTACTGTCTTGAATTATGAAATAGATTACAGTTTGATTTTCATTGTTCCGTTGACGTCGACATACTAAAATATTCCCCTCTATTCCCTTCGCTCCTTTAGAACTAACGTCCACCGTCAGCACGGCACGATAGGAGATAATATCAAGAACAACGTGACAATAAACTTAATTTTTTTTTATATTAATAACTATAAAGCCCATTGCTACTGATCAATGTTTGTTTAAAATCAACCTTATTAATATGACAGAAAGACTGGTAATTTATCACCTTAAGTCCCGTGCCGTCGCTTGACGCTATGCATGCATATTCATAAAAATTCATTAAATACATTCTATAATACAGAATCTTTAAAATGTAATATAGAATACTAACACAGCCTTTATTACAAGTACAATATAAATGATGCAACATTAAAGTCTGATATTTTACTATCGACTCAGTGACAACGCATCGAACAAAGCAGACCTAGAATATTTTACCCGAGTATAATATGCTACTATATAAAGATTGTGTCCCAAAAAGAAACCAACTTCAATTGTGACAAAATTAGTTAATTTGATCTAAAAACTAAAAAACTAAACAGATTTTTTAATCAAATTTCCATGGGACCAATCTGTAAGTATATCCTTTCAGAATAAGAAAATAATTTTCCAAATCGAAATGTTTTATTAATGAAACTTAACATTTTCCCCAAAAAGTCTCTGTAAGCAATTTTTATAAACTATTTTCATTATACCGATTAATAATAAATTGTAAATTATAATAATAAATATAAATTCAGGTAAATTAACTTATTTCTGTTAAATTGCTAGAAGATTTTACATTTACTTTTAAACAATTACTTATAAACATTTACATTATAAGTATGATCTGTCTCATTGATCGAGCCATAAATGGCCAGAGGACTCGATCCTTACAGACATCTTGCTTCAACTTTAACTTATTAATTCGTCATTCCTTCATTCTTATAATTCATCTCATACATAAAGTTCAGTTCAAAAGTCTTTCAGAACTTAGGTCAGTCTAGGTTTAACTCCTTTTAACTACTATTTTACATAAATCTTAGTTATTGTTACTTTTTGTGAAGTAGCGTTATTAAGCTCTGCGACCTGTAACGTGCTTCAGAGATCTGATGATGCATATACTTCGTATTCGATTTTTTTTTTTTATTTAGTTATCTAATGTACTGCTAGACCTTTAGAACGAAAAAGGTACAATATTTTAAAATGCATTTCCATATACTAAAAAATACAATTAGAACTAGTTTGATTGTTAGACCAAGACTTAGTTGAGGCAACATTATTATACAACATTTCATTTTGTTACAATTTAAAAAATATAACGCTGTTTTATATGACAAACTAAGCAACTATTACTGATTAATTAACTATTATTGCCCGATTACTCAATTATTCATTTGAATTATAAGGAAAGTATAAAACTATTTAATAAATAATACCCAATATCTAAAACCTTATTAAACTCCATTTATCTATGGTAGTTTAAAACATATTTTTTCTTTACACACGAACAAAAAAGTATAGACGAATCTCTGCGCACAATAACAGTGACGCCACAAAACCAAGCTCAATTAAATAAATACACTCGCTCATACACACATTTGCGCCAACAACCATGCTTATTATTTGCCAATCAAAACAATTATTTTTAATGCCATGGTGTTGCCAGCAATTAGTTTCAAAAACACCTTACATTAATAAAAAAAAAAAAAAAAAAACATTATTCTCAATATTATTTCCTGGTCTCATTTTGAAGGACATTGATATATTTTTTTTTTAAATAAAATATTTAAAAAAATACAATATTTCCTAACACAAATACTCAAAACAATGGCTTCAGTTTGTATTTTGAGAATGTTACATCTATACTTTAATGTTTAATTTAAGTCTTTTAATCATCATACCTATGTTTTGGAGTCACTTTTCGACTTGTTAAAACAAAAATTATCTCACTATTTCAGTATTTTGTAATGAAACGATAAACACTGCGTACAACCAATCACACTACATGCACATTACATGAATAAATAACTACAATACTATTCTGCCCCCGTAGTCAAGTATAGTCTTTCAATAGAACTAATAAAAACATAAATGAATAATTGACCATACCATAAGACAGTCTGCTATCAACCAAAAAGGTCTTCAAAAGGGGGGTAAAGAGGTTTCTTCAGGGTCGGCAACGCACGCGTAATACCTCTGGTATTGCAGGTGTTCATAGGCTACGGTAACCACTTACCATCAGGTGGGCCGTATGCTTGTTTGCCACCTCAGTGGTATAAAAAAAAACAATAATGCAAATTACAAATTGATTAACTGTTCCCATTTTCCGATTTTTTTTTTTTGCAATTTAGAATGGCGTAAAAGCTGACAGCTCACCTAATAGAAAGTGGTCACCGTCACCTATAGACATGAGCAGTACCAAGGACTTAACAAAGTATACTATTTCGCCCATGATACTCCCCATGTGTTGCCATCCCTGCAGACTGAGGTGTTATTCCTCTGTACCCTGTAAATTCACTGCCATATCCCACCGTTCAAACCGAAACACAGCCATGCAAACACAACTGCTTCACGATAAAAACTCAAAATGGGACAAAGGTGTCCAAGCAAACGACTTTCTTCGTACAAAGTCTCCCTTTGGTTAATTTATTACTAATTTCATTTATAGCGTATCTGTGATAATTTCAAAAAAAAAAAACGGAAAATTATTTTATTAAATTCTATTGAAAGACTACAGCAAACGATACGTTACCGCTGCCGCGTATATGATATATAACGAGAACGAGACAGCAATGCCTGGCATCTTACTCTTTCAAGTACGTACGATAACAAAAATATATCTACCGATAAATTCGTTCGCTACTTGTCTCGGGGGAGAGGGGGCTGTTACCTTTTTTGTTGTAATTCCTCGCTACAATATAATACAAAATTTATTCTAATATCTGTCACAACCTTAGCGTGGATTCGCATCGAAAGATTAATAAAACTAAATTTTATCAAATAATTGCCATTATCATTTACAGTAATGTATATCTCAGAATCGTAACAGGGTGGGTTAACAAAGTGATCTCGCTAGGGTATGCTACTTCGTTACTTGTTAACATTATGTTACATAATCATACTCGAGGCCATACTCACCCTAATCCTACAAACATTATAAATGTGAGTTTATAAAGATGTTAAATTGTATTTTACTCAATCCCGCTTAAACAGCTGAGGAGATTTGAATGAAACTTGGTATACGGGTAGGTTGTATCCTAACTTATATGCAGTAGAATCTCGATTATCCGAACAACGATTATCCGTATGTTCGATTATCCGTATGATCGATTATCCGGACTTATTCTTCACAGCTCTAATTACCGATTTAAAAATGGTATTATGTAATCCATTATCTTTATAGATCCTAGTTTTTTTTTTATATCGTATTATCAAAATGACGTATGTAAAACGCTTTACATAATAAAGGAAATATAAAAATTTTATTATTATTCGATTAGACTTTTAAATCGATTATCCAGAATATACAGAATACCCCTGGTTATATTTGCTTCGGATAATCGAGATTCTACTGTACTGATTTACGCAGACAAAACCGCGGAAAACAACTGGTGTACAATAAGCTAGTTACGTATCCAGCCGGCGGCGTGCAGGTAGTGGTGGATGGCGAGGTCGATTTCCGAGTCGGGAGCGGGCGGTCGCCTCAGTAGCACTCCCTTAATGGTCACGTATTGCGCTGGTGCTAGACTCAGCGAAGTACATAGCTGCACAAATAAACAATATAAGAGTTAACATAGACACAGATGAAAAGCGTATGCGTCTATAGACATATTGCTGAACGGGACACCATGACGTAATCATAGTTGAAATATTTGCAATTAAACTAAAATTGTGATAAAAACATAAATACAAAATAGAAAAGTTTTTAGTCATGAACACTTTGTAATCCAAACGGTCTTACCCGTCGTGGTAGGAGGACGTACCTACACGCTAGTGCAATAACAAGTTTACTCGTCTCAGGTTTTTTTTTATGGGTGAAAATGGTATGGTACCCCCGCCTGCGCTAGAGCACCAGTGAAGGGTGATAGATGAGAATGAAAACAGGACAGTTAGGCCATCACGATTCATCAGGAATTAACCATGATAGTTTCCAGAGAGAACCGCGAGGAGGTCGACCTGGTTGGGTATATTGCTAGCAATGGGATTCTCAGTCTCCATTACTAACAATCCCTTTCCCCCCAACTCGTCACCGGTCAGCAAATGTTAAAAAAACATAAATAGAGTTAGACGACGCTTTATAAAAACTAAGCATGCTATTACTTAAGTGGTTAACCTATTTGTAGGGGAAGAGTGGACTGTTAGGGATGAACCGACCGCGTTGTTATCAATATACCCAGTCGGTTCAACCACCACACGGTCCTACCTGGAAACCGTCACAATAGACTAACTGACCTGTCTTCATATTCACCTATCATCACTTACTGCTACCCCGGCAATGAATGCCAAAAACGCAGGCGGGGGTTACCATTTTCCACCTAGGGAACCTAGGGGGAAAAGGGATTGTTAGCAATAGGGCTGTCAAACTCCATTAGACTTTGAAATCGATTATCCAGAATATACAGAATACCCCTTGTTTTATTTGATTGTTAGCAATGGAGTTTGACAGCCCCATTGCTAGCAATATGCCCTATTAGGTCGACCTCCACGTGGTTCACCCTGGAAACCATCGTGAACAATTCTTGTTGAATTCGTCACAATGGGCTAACTGATCTACTTCATCCTCATTTATCATCCATCACTGGTACCTCGCTAGTGTATACCAATAGCACAGGCGGGGTAACCATTCCAATATCACCCATTAAAAAAAAACCTAGGGAACCTAGTTCAGACACAGATGTTTAAACTGATCCAAATGTACAAATTAATTCGTACCTATTTTTACTGTAATTTCCAGTGCTGAGTTTGTTACAATCATGGTTATGCAATAAAGTTATTATTATTATTATTTTCATTATTAAGAAAAGATCTTTATGTATTCTATCTCTTTTCATTTAAGAATTTCATCTTGTCGGTGAAACTAATTTATGCATTTTCGTCCAGCCAGTTCTATCCTATGCCATATCTTTGACCTCCCTACGACACGACACCTAGTGTTTCCTTTATCTGTTCCATGTAGTTATTCCTCGGTCTACCCCTTCCTCTCTTGCCCTCTATATCTATTATAAGTACTTATAAAACTATTGCATTACGCCTGTAGAATTTTATTCCACTAGCCCATCGGTAAATATCACTAATTACTCTATTGACGACGCACCAACGGTTTGTCGCCGATAAGTGCCAAGGTCGCGAATATTGTTCTGCTATCTTAATTAAAACTATTGTCTTAGTGCCTTTTAAATTTTAACAATATATTTTAATCTCACTTGTAATTTAGCATTTAATCTATCGACGTAGATACGTGAAAATATTTCGATAATTTTCAGTGATAGGAATAAATTTCCAACTTCTGTTCGAAAGGAGGTATATTCAAATATTAATAAAATTATTGGATGTAGGCATAATAGCTTGGTCCAAAAATAGCAAAGCATGATATCACGCATACGTGTAGTTCATGTATATAAAGAATATATATATTAATATTTTTATAATTACAATTTATTATAATTAAACTTATTTTCTACCGACTTCAAAAAGAAGGAGGTTCTCAAATCTATACTTATAATAAATCTGTAGAGAGGTCAATTCTGTACATGAAATATATTTCCAAAATAACTATCAGGGCGTGATTAATGATCGATACTGATGCCAAAAATGCAATCAGTAAAATTTTTGTCTGTCTGTCTGTATGTTCGTTATAGAAACAAAAACTACTCGACGGATTTTAACGAAACTTGGTACAATTATTCTTCATACTCCTGGGCAGGTTATAGTATAGTTTTCATCACGCTACGAGCAGTGAAGGGAAATGTTAAAAATGTCCGGGACAGGCCGCTGATCGATCATATTTTTTTTTTTTATATTTGTTACCTCATTACTCCATAGAAGCTAAACCAATTTATAAAATTCTTTTTTATCTTACAAATTGGACCCATAGAAATTTTATCAAAATCGTTTCAGTAATAATTTTTAGATCGAAATAACTGGCCACAAAGTCTTTTTTTTTTTTTGTGGGATACAATAATAGTTACAAATCATCAGCCTTTACATAATGAATGTAAAGGCTGATGATTTGTAACTATTAACACTACTACTCGAGTAATGGTGATATCCAATCCAAGTAACAATCATTTTTAAACGACCAAATGTTCATTTGAAAAACAGAGTTTTGGACTGGGATTCAATTGAAACTATCGGACTGCAGTCAAACGCGATGGATCAGCACTATCTGTGACTATCTGCTGTAAAAATAAAGCCATGAATGATTTTGATTACGACGCTAGTGAACAAATACCTGAATTTCGTTATTGGTCAGCAGATGCCTCGAGCATCCGCCGTTGCTGTTGTTGCATGAGCTCTTTTTGGAGCATCCACATGCGATACTTCCGTCCCGTGTGGACCTTGGGCTGGTGGAACTTGAGCCGCTTTCTCCTTCTCTGTTATAACAAACAATGTATCATTAGTGAAACTATACATACAATAATACAAAATTTTCAAAAAAGACAATATATAACACGCATGAGTAATATCGCTTATGATCGAATATCTAACAGGTACTCTTTATCGTTTCCTTCAAAAGATTACAATAGTAAACTTATTATAAATAGAAACAATTACATGAAACGATTACACTGGGAAAACAGCGTTATCGTTAAAACGATCTCTTTTTTTTCAACCTTTGGATGGAAAAAAAAATATAAACAGTTTGACCGAATATATATATATATATATATATATATATATATATATATATATATATATATATATATATATATATATATATATATATATATATACATATATTTATATATATATAAAATAATCATAAGGATATATATATTAATAATCTATAAATACTATGACAATATATAATTCGCATATCCCACCTATACTTATCCTGAGGACTCAGGTGTTATTCCTCTGTACCCTGTAAATTCACGCCATATCCCACCCTTCAAACCGAAACACAGCCATGCAAACACAACTGCTTTACGGTTGAAACGCGAATGGGACAGAGGTGCCCATGCAAACGACTTTTGTATTGCGTTAGACAGAAAACAAAGTCTCCCTAACGCAATCGAATACGGATCAAATCATCATGTAGATCACATCGATAGATGACAAATATATGATAAGGTAACGTTCGTTTCTCGCATAATTATTAGAGTATATTTAGCTCAGGTTGATATCTGAAACCGTCCAGTCCAATTAGATGCAATTTTGTAAATATGTATTGTTAATTTTAACTTGAGAAATAAGATAATTTCTATCCCGATAAAAAAACAGACACCCTGTAAAGGGTGGCTCAATTTTCCAGGACAGCTAGTCGTAAACGTTTTGCCCCTATATAAATAATGAAAAATGATAAAGTATGAAAAGTACATATAACTTTTGCCGTGTGGTCCCGCAATAGAATAAGCCATCACTTCCTTTCCTGTGGGTGTAGTAAAAAGCGACTAAGGTCACTTAATGGTCGAAGGATGGGCAGCAGCGTGCCTCTTAAAACATCTCCAAGGTCTAACTGCGGTTGCCAACCCGCCTGCCAAGCGTGGATGAATGTAAATGATACATAATTATAGCACACAAATTTCCTGATAAAGAATTTAAATGTACGCCGAATATACTAAGAATAGTATCATACATAATACCGACTGCTCATTTGCATAATTAACGATTTCCGGAACAGGCACTGTTATTTTCCTCGGAAACAATTACGTATTCGTGCACTCGACGCATAAAATACCTTTAACTTGACATTTGAAACCAGATTGTTAAAAGTTAACATTCCATAAACTTTAACTTATTTTTATCTGTCCCATATTATATCAATATCGCATGCATTATTTCTTTGTCCGCCGGACAAATATTCCGTATAATTTTTAAACCGTATAGCAAGCAATTTTGGTAGTTTTTATATTATCGAACTAAAATGTACATCGAAGATTGTCTCTTGTAGATTTAATAGTGTGGGAAGGCAATGCAAATATAAAACTTTGTTGTCGTACAATACGGCTTTCATGTTTAAATTCATGTCATTCAAAAAACGGATCAACTTTTTCATACAATTTTGCGTGATTAATATTTTTTTTTTTACAACTTAGAATGGCAAACAAGCTGACGGCCCACCTGATGGAAAGTGGTAACCGTCGCCTCGTAGTTATGAGTATTTCTTTTATAACTTCTATATTTATTTTGTTTTGTAATTTTTGCATCTTTTTAATGCGTAAAAACTCATTTTATTTATTAAATTAATATAGATACGTCAAGATACATTAATGCATAAGTATATAGAACGAGTCAGCTAATTTGACAAAAAGTTGACCCGTTTTTGAGACTCGATGCTCTATTTATATAATGTTAGATTAAAATATCTTTTACCTTTTTCTTTGCTGCTGCGTGCTGGTCTGCGTTTGCTCTTTTGTCTGATTGGTGTCCAGGCACCCACTGCTGCCCTGGCGAATACAATAGTTATACGGAATCAAACCCACAACCACACTATCATAGTTTCGATGCATTACAAAAGTCGGAATGGGGTTCGATTATGAGGCGTCATTTCTTTAATCCTATCTCTAAAACTAAAATTTCAATTTGATATCACAACGAAATCTTTATTGTAAAAACCAATGTCAAATAAACTTCTAATAGAATTAAATGATTATAAATTTAGTTTATCATGGTCTATAAAAAAGTAATTTAGCGAAACCATCAAATTAAAATATTAGGTTAAGAGATGCTTCAGAATTGACCCTACTATCATATCCGCTCATAGAATTTCAACATTGGGAACTATGTGTAAAATAACAAGCATCAGACTGGGCTTACTTATTACAATTATTTTCATGTTCATCCACTCGACTAATTGGATTTTTTGACTTGACATACTGTTTCTCAAATTATTTATTAAAAGTAGTTTGCGGCATATTTCATCCATAGTAATGGATAAACTCAAAAACTAAACAACCGATTATGTATATGTTATGATACCGATATTGTTCCTCTGGACTATTAGGATAGGATTTATGATGAACGAAACGTTAAGCTCCATTTATTGGGTCGATTTAGGTACGAAGAAAAACACGAAATTGAGCCCGCAAAATCCGGAATTTCATTTCATGGTAGGCCCCCTGGACCTATCAAATTTTCGAAAATTTGGAATAAGCCTCCTGTATATTTGATAATAAAACATGCTTTGTAGAGCCATCATTACTGGCAAAGTTCCATACAGTAAGTAGTACAGCATAATATGGCTGCCAGAATTATGTTACAAATAGTCCACGATACTACCCTAATAAATCACCTTCACCTATGCTACTTATTATATTAGATAAACCATATTAAGAACCTATGAAATGATATAATTTTTGACTACTGCATAGCATGCTTCATGTCCAAGTGCGGTCAATGGCACAGGACCTAAACTCTAATGTAATCCTACCCATTTAATAACTATTAACGAGACAGTTTACATTAGCAAATACACCGCAGTAAGCAAAAGCATGAATATGGGTTGAAAAAGAATTAAAAATGCAAGCCTGACTACGTCTATATTACCATTTGTCAAAATTCTAATTACATTCATTTTACATATTCTCAATGACAATTTAAAAGAGTTCTTTCGAATGAACTGAATTCTTTCCTGTGTCGTTTGTGAAGAAGGATCTTAATTTCAGGATGAACATCAAAGAAAAGAGCTGATAAAAGTATTTAAAAATATCAAAAGTTAACAAAATAATCGCAAACATTTTTAGATGCATTTAACTTGTTCTGTAATTAACAGTCCACGGCGATAGACAACCACTTTTTAAATAATAAATTAGATATATACATTTTTGACAGATAATAAAACCGTTGCCAGGCTTACGTATGAACAATAATGTTGACCTGCTCGAAAAATGGATATGAGGGACAAAAACAGAAATATAAAAAAGGGCAATAAAGTAATCTATACCTGAAATAATATTTAAAAATGATATAAATAAAATGGAATATGTGTATGTACCACGCCAACTGTTCTTATATTATCAAATATTAAATCATTTAAATTTTATTAATGTCAAATGTGTTTATTTGTGACAATGTTTTTTTTTTTTTATAACACAGGAGGTAAACGCGCATGCGGTAGTAAGAAACTACCGTCGTCAATGAGCACCCGTAACATCAAAGGCATTGTAGATGTGCTGCCAGTCGTTTAAAAAGGAATATGTTCCGTTACATATAAAATCCACTACTCACTATCTAGATTTTACTAGACTGAGCTGAGACTGTATAAAGAAAATATTTTATTAAGTAGATGTTATACATTCAAGACGAGAAATTAAACAATGAGTACTATTAATATTCTATTTTTTAAACCGTTTCAAAAATAGATTTTTTTTTATTCAACTTAGAATGGCAAGCTACGGCCTACCTGATGGAAAGTTGTAACTGTCACCTATAGACTCTTAATTTGATAGTATTGTTAATGTATGGTTATACATACCTTTGCAAATTGTGAAACAATTTGGATAATTGTCTTGCAACAAATAGTTTTAATAAAACTTAATATAAAAGTAACCAAATTATGTTGAAATTATTACGGAACTATTTTTATTTAGAGAGCTAAATGCGATTAATAAAATCGAAACATTAATCAATTAATCGATTTTATAATTATTCTATTATAGGACATAAGCAGATTTTTTATTTATATTTTAAATGAGCTCTATTGAAATAAACTATTATATCCACACAATCGGAACAACTGCTTGTATAGAATAAATTTGAGTAGAACAGTTGAGGTTTTTTTTAGCCTCCCGTAGGAGTGCAGCTTGTTCCCTGATAATTTTTCTAGGTTTTTTAAGTTTTTAGCTAATTTAAATTCCTTCTTAGTTTTCCTCACTCTTTACTACCATGTTCCCTTCATTCCTCACCTTCCATTCCACTTTTTCTCATTTGTCGTAGCGATCTTATTGGTTTATTTCAAATTTCAGTAAATTTTTGTCCTCAGTTTGAATCAGTTTTGGTTTGTCGAAGAACCGCAGTGCCTTGGCATAGTGTTATTTTTATTGTACGATACCGTCCACATCCTCGCATATGAATCAGTTTTGTGTTCTATTATTCTCAGGTACAATATCGTTCTGTTCTTCTATTTATTTTTGTGTATTGTGTTAATTGTCCAGTTCTTAGTTATATATGGAACAGTTGTGTCTGGCGGCGGTGTGAGCGTGTGTGAGCGTGTGTGTGGCGTGCGTGGCGTGTGTGGGCGTGCGTGGCGTGCGTGCGCGCGAAGCGTGCAGTACCAGCGGGCGGGGCCTCACGTGCAGCAGGTGCGCGTGCGGGTGCTTGCGCTGCGCGGCGTGCTGCTCGTAGTGCGCGCACTCCTCGAGGCGCGTGACGCCGGCCAGCCGGTAGCGGTGCAGCTCGGCCAGCCGCACGCGCAGCTCGCGCTCGCGCCACAGCCCCGCCACCACGCCCGCCTGCTCCGCGCGCCCGTAGAACTGCGCCGTCCAGCGCAGCCGCTCCGTGAATTCCCTGCGTACATTACACGGTACAGTACAGTACAGGTGATCGGAGGGAAAGGGATTGTTAGTAATGAGGTCAAATAGCCCTATTACTAGCAATATACCCTGTCAGGTCGACCTCCACGTGGTTCCCCCTGGAAACCATCGTGACTAATTCTAGTTTAATACGTCAGGATGGGCTAACTGACCTACTTTCATCTTCATCTGTCATCCCTCACTGGTACCTCGCCAGTGTATACCAATAGCGCAGACGGGGTAACCATACCATTATCACCCATTAAAAAAAAAGCACAGGCGATCGGGGGGAGATTGTAAATACACCCTACCAGATCGACCTCCACGCGGTTCCCCTTGAAAACCATCGTGGTTAATTGTAGTGGAATTCGTCACGATTGGTTAACTGACCTGTCTTTTCACCCTCATCTGTCATTTTTTTTTATACATCTCAGAATGGCAAACAAGCTGACGGCCCATCTGATGGAAAGTGGTAACCGTCGCCTATAGACACTGGTGCCCCGCCAGCGTATCCCAATAGCGCAGGCGGGGACATTAATGTCATTTTCACTCATTAAAAAAAAGTACAGGTGACCGGTTACAACATACACGTTGATACAAACTATTACCTCCCCACTCCCCTAGACAAGTGGCAAATAAATATAACGATAGATGTCGCTATCAATTGCACGAGATGCAATGGACAGGCAACGATCAGTGTCTTGTTTATTCTCAGATTGATCTCATGCTAATCACTCTGTAGATACAAATCTACAGAGTGATTTGTTTGGCACTCGTACTAAAGCGGATGACATCTAAACAGCAATAATTGTGTTCCACAAAAAAAAAAAAACTGAATTCAATTGTAGCAAAATTAGTAATATTACTTTGAAAACTAAACTTCGATTTTAAAATTTGTAAATATATCCTTTCAAAAAAAAAAGAATTTCCAAATCAGTTTATAACTGACCAAGTAATGAAGTAACAGAAAAAATACAACTGAGTTAAACGCCTCCTTATTTTGAAGTAGGTTGAAAATCATGTTTTTACATAGACACATTTACATGGGTTATACCTAGTTGTTTATGACTACTTTGTGATTTTTTACTTATCTCATTACACAATTATGAGAAATGTTTATTTTCATATAAGAAAACAAAACCATCAATTTTATTATTAATATTATAAATATACTCACTTTTTCTCTTTGGCAAGTTTCCCTAACGTTCTCTGTTTGTTTCTCTGATTGTTAAAAAACGAAGAAACTAGTTGATAATCACGAACTAGTCTTTTTCTTCTCGTCCTCTCTCTGAGACGCCTCGTATAAATGTCCACTTGTGAGAGTTTTAAAGCTGAAAAAATTATTTAAATTCATATACTTGTATTACACATATAAAATATTAGCTATTACTGATGAATCTGTCCATGTGACCATGATATGTTAATTGATCAAAATGATCCATCATGAGTGCCATCTGTTTATTTGTTATTTTAAGTTGTTTAAAATTACAAGTTAGTTTAGAGAAAGACATCTAAGAATTGACTCCAATGTGTTTTTACACAGTCACAGAACATGTCATAGTTCACCAGACAGTAAAATTGTGTATGATATAATTTAAGCTGACAAAAATAACAACTTACCAACATCTAGTTCATCATCCTCAGAGTTGAGAGACAAAGCAGATATCAGCTGTTCTGCTTCATGATCATGTTCCTAGAGCATAATAAGTAATTATAAATAACATAATAACAATTTCTGTTACTACAAAATTTCAAAAGGCTGATAACACCCATCCTTATTTCAAAGTTATCATGGAGACATTGTCCACTTCTTATTAAGTGGACCTCAACCTCAATTGCCGCCCTAGCAATAGAAAACTCTATAAATCTATCAATTGATTAGTTGGTAGATTCATGTGTGATGTTAGTAGTGCATCAGTTTCACACAGTGCCTTGCCTTTCAGTGACAAAATAAAAATGTATTATTCATGAGTTTCTCATAGTGATATGCCCAATATTCATATCTATATCTGTGGATATTAGAGACAAAAAAAAAACATATATATCCATATCTGTTATTTTCAAAACAGATCTTTTACCTTATTAAACATTCAATTACTATTTAAAAATATCTACAATAAGATATCTCCATAGTTACACATCTAAAAATCATGTTGATAATTTTATTACCTAAAGTAATCATATTTGGAATATACAAACATAATCTATATTAATCCATCTTAAATTATAAAGAAAACAAAAAACTCGCATATCATTTGCATTAAAGAACAACAATAGTGTATTTGTATTGATCTGGATATTTTCTATATATGCATTTATAAAAAAATCTATCTACTGGTGGCAACTGAATAATAAACATAATTTTATAGTTTTGTTTGTATTGTGGTATGTAATATATCTATTATCATATATTGTATGATTGAATGTCACTGTTACTGTGGCCTGTAACTAAAAAGCGTTTAAACTTTAATAGAGAACTTACTCTTTCAAAATCATCTCTGTTAGACATATAACCTAGTTGTGTAGCTTCATCAGCAGTAATCGCAAGGGGTGGAAGACGTGACACTGCACTTGGGCCAAGTGGTCCTTCATCTCTGTCAGCACAATGTAATGATGGCCGGGATGTACTCTCCACAGTGCCCCATGTAGCTCGTCCAATACAACCTTCCAAATATCTTGTGATATATTCATCTTTTGCCTCTGAAAATTTTAATACTATTTAATAAACACTTGTCATATTTGCAATTAGCCACCAGCCATTCTTAAAAAGAAGAGGTGTATTCTTTATTTACAGAACATGGAAAGTGTGTTGGAAATATTCAAAGAATAGTGAAAGTGAGAAAACTGTGCGCTGAGAAAATAGTGCACTGCTCTCGATTATGACAAGCAAAAATGTATCAAACAAAGCTTGTCTTGCCATAAAATGACATGAATGCCAGGAAATGACACCAATATTTATATATGGAAGCAAAATCCTAGATATGATGGAATAAGTATAAAGATCAATGATGTAGAAATAAGAGATCTGAGCAGTATATGTGTTATGTGAATGTGAAATAGGACTCCATTTTCCGCGCTTAGCCTCTAATTTGGTCTGTTGTGCGTATGAGTCGTGGCTAATACAGCCAACCTAACTCCGCCCAGAAGCGCAGAAGCTTCCTGGGATCTTCATAGGCCTCACGGAGCGACCTCGCCATTCCGAGAATTTCTAAACGTTGATGGGCCACAGCTTCAAATTCCAGGATTACGTGAGCAGCCGTTTCTTCGGCATTGAAACAGCCTCGACATAGACTGTCTGTGGCTCCTATTGTCTATAAATGTTTGTTTAATGGACAATGGCCCATTATTGTCCCTATCATTATTTTGAGGTTTTTCCTATCTAGATGTAATAAACGTTTTGATAGTCGTTGATTCAACGTAGGTAGGGCCAATTTTGATTGTCTGCAATCAATAGCCTGTATCCATCTTTGGTTTTGTATTTTAGCGGATCTTTGACGAATCCATATTCGAAGTTGCGAGAATGGAAGAGGAAGAAGTGGATACAGGCCTACCACCCTCGTTCCTGAACCTCTTCTAGCTAGTTCATCTACGGCATCATTACCATAAGATCTACTGTGCCCTCTTATCCACTGGAGAATAACTCGGTTATTGGAAGATATCTTATCCAGTGAATAGTGGCATTCAACTATTAATTTGTTGTTTGTCTTGTTGTTTCATAATGCTTTTAGTACTACTGCGCTGTCAGATAGGAATCTAATGCCAATACCATTTATTCCTAGCTTATGTACAGCTGCAGCAGCCTCGGTTATTGCAACACATTCACATTGGAATATTGAGTATGCCAAGCAGTATATGTATGTTTATATTAAGGTCAAAGGAAAAGACTCCGGCTCCTGATGCGTTCTCAGTTTTGGAGCCACCGGTGTATATGCATAATTCATGTACACCGGATTGGTCCTTTTCCTCTTCTTTTATTTGTATTTGGTATTTTTTGTTAAATATATAATGATTATAAGTGCTGTCATATGGAGCTGCAATCAAAGGTTCATATTCAATTGCCTGGTTCAAAATAGAAGTGTGGGGACTGTTGTGATTTTTACCCCATAGATCCAGATGCATTACGGCTGCTTCCTGCTGTATGTGCAGGTCTAGAGATGTTATGTTGAAGGCCAAGTATATGTGGTCTTACATTAAAAGATATAATGAGAAATAGTAAGATTGAAATGTTGCATTGACTTGGCGATTTCGAGAAGATACATGAAAAACAATTTACAGAAGAGATTTATAGAGCTCAAATTAATGGAGATGTCTGTAGTGGATGCCCTAGATGGATGTATGTACGTCAAGCGCATGAAAAGGTTTGGAAATGTAGAGGACGCAAAAGAGATCTGTTTGAAACGAAGCATTTAACGTTCCATTACTTCTTTCTGCCCCAATGGAAGATAGGCTTAACACATATATGTACGTACTTACCTTCAGGCGTTCGTGTTTCAATATGTTTAGCTATGTCTTCCCAGTTTCCAAAACCAAATTGTTCAATAGCATCTAAAAGTCTCACTTCTTCATTTGCGGACCAACTATTACGTCCCAAAAATATACCAAAGGCACCAGAGTCCTAAAATACAATACATAGTAAATTAGCAAAGGAAATTAATATTAATTAATGTAACATTAAAATTCATACATATGATTTACTTACCATAAACTGATATGAATGATCATTTTTGTGGGAACCTATTTCAGCACCGAGAGAAAAACACTGAAAAATTAAATAACACGATTTAAATTTTGCGCCAAAATAATAAACAAAAATGGCCACTATGCTATATACAATACCTGCAAGCAGATATCAAAATCTATACACTCAGCACATCTTATACGAATTCCATTTATTTCTTCTTGACAGTAATTGCAATTATATTTAGCATATAAATCCGAAAATGACATGATTACAATACTAAATCAATTAAAATAATCCACACGTTAGCACTAAACAAATATAGAGTTGAAGAGGTTTCGCCAAACCAACAAATCAGCCATTTTTTCAATGTTACCCTCTTAAGGTCACGTTTTAGAGCTGCGGCGAAATAAAAAAAAATAAACAAATTATTGTTGTGCATAATTCATTACTATAATAGTAACAAAATATATATAACACAATAGAATGTGTTTACTTAAGATCAAAATAAAAAAAATCGAGATTAAGTAGGTATTATTCAAAAATATACAAAGAGTAAAAGTAGCAATGACAGTTGATAGCATTCAATCTCAATGTACTTCTTCAAAAATCATAGCATACAAATAAAACAGCACCAATTTCTTTTCATTATTTTTCAAATTTTAAACATTTTAAATTCGATAAATAATGATAGCGTATATATATATATATATATATATATATATATATATATATATATATATATATATATATATATATATATATATATATATATATATATATAATAACGTGATCTTATTCAATTACGAAATTTACGGTACTAGTAACTGCCGTTGTAGTTTTGATAAGAATCAAAGAAATATTCTTTAAACTATATAACATTCTATAGCGATACATCTGTATTGTTTGTGTAAATTGAGAATAAAAAAAGGCTTCAAAACCCAAAAGAATTAAATTGGCAACACTTTTGAAAATAATACTATAGATAAAATATCGAGGTACCTACAACGTAGATTAAGGATAATAGGTACCTCAGGTTTCTCTTTTTCGTTTATGTTTGTACAATAAAATTTATTAATAACGTAGATTAAGACATAGATTGAGACATTGCTTTTTTATGATTAAGAAGTGTTAATTTGTAAAATCTGATAGGTTTAACATATTTTTTTTTTTATACAACTTAGAATGGCAAATAAGCTGATGCATGACGGCCCACCTGATAGAAAGTGGTAACCGTCGCCTATAGATATGAGCAGTACCATGGACTTAACAGAGTATACTGTTTCGCCCATGATACCCTTCATGCGTTGCCATTCCTGAGGACTCAGGTGTTACTCCTCTGTACCCAGTAAATTCACGCCATATCCCACCCTTCAAAACGAAACACAGCCATGCAAACACAATTGCTTCACGGTTGAAACACGGTTGAATGGGACAGAGGTACCCAATCAATCGACTTTTGTACAAAGTCTCCCTCTGGTGAGATACCCTCAGGTAATAACCATTAATATTAAAATTAATAATAAAAAATACTACCAGAGTAGTAATGTCGTTGGACAAATATTTATATAATCATGAGATTAAATTCAATTCGAATTAACTAAAAAGGAAATTACCACATCAACATTGACATACGCATATATTCATATACATGCGATAGAATAATCTCGCATATATTATTATGTGTTGACGATTTTAAATAATCAATTAAAATAAATTCAATCGTCAAATTTTTATATAATGTTCAGGACTTTATTATTTTATAACACAGGGGGCAATCGAGTATGCGGCTCACCTGATGGTAAGTGACTACCGCCGACCATGGTCACCCATAACACCAACGGCATTGCAGATATGCTTCTGTATCTATGCCGATCACAGATTTTTAGCGATATATAAAATATACAAATGAAAGTAGGAAGCAAAAGATGGGATAAGAAAAAGAAACTAAATATATAAAAATTCAAAAGGTCGGTTTTTTATTTTGTTTAGATTGCTTCGTAATTTATAAAAAATAGTCTTAAAAATCGGTACAAGTTTGAGATTTGATATTTGGGCTGTTAGGAGTATGAGTTGTAGATATACAACCTAATTATCTGTGCCTATCGATGACAATGTTCCTTGCTAAGCATCTTGTTGATTGTAACATTGTATACTGCTTATTATACGTATTTTAATATTTAATATCGCTTTCTGTTCTCCACTTTAATGTGGGCAAAAAATAAAAATTGCATCAGACGATGGACTTTGAGATGGATAAAGTAGAGACTCTGTTTCTGGTCTCTATCCATCTCACGATACGAACGAAATTTCGTAATATTTCAAAGTATATATACAGGCTTTTATAAGGATCCAGACTCCCCTAAATAATAATCTTAATTAGAACAATGGTCATAAAAATGTATTATAAATGGTTATAAAATACCTTCAATATTTGTTTATATTATAATTTTAATACTTCTAAATAATTGCATAGATTGTTTCCTATTTCATCGATAGAAGATTAGTGTTACCTCTTAAATAACGCAGTCATAAATTGTAAAACAGAGTTCTTACATTGCTCTGTGTACTCGAATTTGTTCTCTGAGCAAACCTTCTATACCTGTTTTTCTATTGAAATAATTTATTAAATTCAGTCTTATTTTCATTATATGATGTTCAATAAATAATATTGGTTCATAAAAATATACCCTTGTATTTATTGAATATTATACATTTAAAAGTTAATGATATAAACGCATTAAAGTTCATATTGTTCGTAATGCAATAGTTCCATATCTCTACTCATCCACTAAAATGAAATCTAGCAAACGACGACTTCAGGCACTTACGGAAGGCTCCGATGGCTTGCCCAATTATCTTAAAATGGAAGATTCTGAAACGTCCATACCGCCTGTTTTTAGATCTAGACTGCATGATTTATTTTCTCAGATAGAAAAAGAATTTGACCTTCTTTATACTGAGAATTTAAATTGTAAGTATATAAACATTAATATTTTGTAGCTGTGATGTTAATGTTCTATATTTTAAACAGTTACCATGTTGTTCACTTTCAATTTATTTAAATATATTAATGATAGATATGTAACAAATGAAAATATTAAATGCTATGAAGTTGAAGGAAGAAATTTTAAATGAGTACTCAAGTGATATTAATTTACTGTCGCACACATATATGTATAAAAGTATTGATAGGTCGCCAATACTTATTTATAAACAAGACTGTATTTAGTACTACACTTGTTAACAACTAGAATGTTACTATAAGTAGGCATACAGATCTGTTGGGAATTTGGGGTTTAAAAATTATAAATAGATGTAGTAAAATGGCTTCTATTTTTGTTTAAAGTAATAAAGGAAAATAGTAAAGGTTAATAGACAAAATGGTATGGCGTATGCTCACTGACTGTGTTGTTTTGTCCTTAGTGTTAAGTACCATTTTTGGACGCTAACTAGGGAGAAGATAATGTCCCTATTGATAGTAACATATACCATATCAGATTGACATCCTCATGATCCCCTTATGCTGATGTTTAATTCTCAATGAATTTCTTGCATTGGGTCAGTATACTTGACATTATTAGAACATCCCTCGTTGATACCCTGCTAGCATGTACCAATAGCACAGGTGAAATTATTGTCCCACTTTAATTACAAAAAATATAGCTACAATGCAAATTACTGGATACTTAATAAATAGATACCTACTAATCTTTCTCATTGAAAATAGCCATAATACTTTTTTACTTTCCATGTACAGTGCAAGAGAAGATAGATATTCTCAGTGAAAAATTGGAAAGAGAAAGTTATGTGGGAGATCGTCAAAATTTAGATTATATTGAGTTTGAAACTGCAGGAAAAAATTCCAAAGGAAAATGTGAGTTTCTATGCCTCAATTTTATTTTTTTTTAATTTTTAATTATATTATCTAAAATAATGTAATTATATGGAATTATATATTAACCTTAATATTATAAATGTAAAAGTTTGTAAAGATGTTTGGATATTTGTTATTTGATAATACTGAAACAGTTGACAGATTTGAATGAAATTACTACATGAGTGAGTTATACTTTAACACATAAGATGCTTAATACATTGATTTGCAAGCAAAGTTACAGGAAACAGTAATAATTTATTTATAATAATGAAAATGTCATTACATTTTTTATTGTTATGTGATTACATAATATTTATAGTTTGAAAGGAATTTATTAATGAAATAAAATGTCATGTCAATGTAAAGAAATTTATATGAAATTCTATATTTACTACTTAAACCTACATTCATTTAAAGACTAATCTTTTACTATTATTATTTTTTAGTGACCCAAAGCAATTCTCAGAAAGTGAAAGCAAGCCACAAATTGAGAGTGCAGACTAGTAAGATAGTATCTAGCTTCAAAGCACCCACATATAACTGCCAACTGGTTAGAGAATTCACTGGACACAAAGATGGTATTTGGGATGTGACATCTGCTCGACCAGGGCAAGCTCTTATTGGGACTGCTTCTGCTGGTAAATATAATCTCTGTTTTGGCACATGTTTCATATATGAAATATTTATTTTGCAATTGGTATATCATATGTCTTGAACTCAACAGGTTGGAAGTAAAAAAAAAGTAATTAGTATTACCATATTCATTAATAAGAGGCCACAGTAATTTATTTCATTTTCAAAATAGTCATTCACTTTTTTTAGAAATATTTTTTGTTTGTTTAAATTTTTTTATGCACAAAAAATAGAACAAAAGGAACAGTATTGAAAGTACAATGGTAGACCTATTTCTAGAAAAATAAAATTATGAAACTTATATTTGTATACATGTGTGGGTGTGTGTGTGTGTAATCATTATTATAAGGTTTTGTGGTTCATGTGACTGTGTGTAAGATGGGAGCAAAAACAGGAATGCCTGTTTTATACATTTACTATGATTGTTACACCTGTACTCATTACATGATAGATAGTCATGTGAGATAATTGTGCTTAGTCATTACAATCGTCTCTGTGTCACCATTTTCTTCATACACCTATATTCCAAAATATTTTTTTATTTGATATTGAAGTGAAATCTTTGTTAATTTTAATTAATACTAATATGAATTAATTTCAAATAATTTTGACTAAAATCTTTATTCAATATTAATTTTCAGAGATAGATTTAGAGATTGCTGATACCGAATTTACCCATTGTATACTAAACTCACTTGTCCTTACCACTTGTGCTATAATAATTTCATAATGTGTCTTTTTTTTATACAACTTAGAATGGCAAACAAGCTGATGGCGCACCTGATGGAAAGTGGTACCCGTCATCTATAGACATGAACAGTACCATGGACATAACAGAGTATACTGTTTCACCCATAATACCCCCCATGCATTGCCATTCCTGAGGACTCAGGTGTTATTCCTCTGTACCCTGTAAATTCACGCCATATCCCACCCTTCAAACTGAAACACAGCCATGCAAACACAACTGCTTCACGGTTGAAACACGAATGGGACAGAGGTACCCAAGCAATTGACTTTTGTACAAACTCTTTCTCTGGTATCTACCATACTGGTGTCTACCATATTGTTATAGAATGTGTATCCTATTAATGTGAATGATAGGATAGATGAATGTTTGTTACTCTTTCACACAAAAATTACAGATTTGAATTAAATTTGGTACACAGTTAGGAAGTTAGCATACCCTATATACTACCTATACACATACCTGCGATTTCACCTGCATTAGTATAAGGAAGTGTGAATTTAATTGGTATAAAAAGAATGGTTCTTTATATACCGATTCACATTGCTGAAATTGCAGGATAGAGCTAATATTAAAATAAATATTTTTGTTTAGATCACACAGCTTGCGTATGGAGTGTAGAATGGGGAAAATGCCTTCTACAGTACACAGGCCATCAGGGGTCAGTGAACTCGATCAGATTCCACCCTACGCGAGACATAGCACTTACGAGTAGTGGAGACAACACTGCTCATGTCTGGCAGGCTGCTGTAAACTGGGATCTGCCAGTAAGTTTCTATAACTTGAACAGAAAAAAACTAAGCCTTAATACAAACATAGCCAATGTGTCAAGCTGTCGAGTTAGTATGGAAGGGATTATTTTTTTGCCATATTTTAATCCATGTTTCATTGGAAAGAAACATTAAATTTCACTTATATAGACCTTTCGATTAAAAGTATACTGTTTGCTATGTTACTGGCAGTTTGGCCAGCCGGCCTTTTTTTTACAACACAGGGGGCAAACGAGCATGCGGCTCACCTCATGGTAAGTGACTACCGCCGCCTATGGTCACCCACAACTCCAACGGCATTGCAGGTGTGCTGCCGGTCTTTTAAAAAGGAATATGCTCTTATTTGTATTTATATATGTATTTTTTTTGTATTTATATTAATTCTTTTATTATTTTTTTCGATATATGTTTATTGGCACCGTTTTTTGTTAATTCAAATATACAATTAACATAATGTTTTATTTTTCCTTCAGTCGCAGGCTAATGATTTGATTTCAGCCTGTTTTATAATTATTTTATAAATTATTTAATTGTTTATATAATCATTAAAAAAATTCATGAGTATGTCTGTATTTATAAAAAAAATGTATTAGTCTAGGTATTTTCTATTTTAGGTATGTAATGTTTTGGGACTGAATATAGTGTAATATAGCTAAACAATTATATCATTAATAATTCTATATGTAAAAGTAAACAAAACAGACATTTATATTATTCTATTTGAGATACAAATAATTTATTATTTAATTATACTTATAAATAACACAAAAATCAGTAAAGTTTTTACAAGTAAATAGAACACACTAGGAATAAATTGCCTACTCAATTGTAAATAGCAAAGCAATATGGCAATGATAAGGAAATGTGTTATGTTGTTACTAGCGTGGTCAATCTTCTGAAGAGGAGCTCGAAGGCGGTGGTGAAGAGAGTCTTGGAGAAGGTGGCGACCGACCTGAAGTACTGCGGACTCCACTTAATGAGCTTGGTGGACATCTCGGCGTAGTGGTAGCTGCCGACTGGCTCACAGGTGGAGACCACGTCATCACCGCCTCATGGGACAGAACAGCCAACTTGTATGATGTTGAAACAGGAGACTGTTTGCAGGTTCTAACAGGTATACACATCTTCTTTATTGTTTTATTCAAAATAAATTTATAAAAACTTTTAAATAATCCACGTAGCAATAACAGCAATTAATTTTGTCATTTACTAATTTTAAAAGGATGTCATGGGAAATAAATTAACTTAAAATAGGAATAGTTCATGGCATGGTACTACAATTGGAGACATGTTTAACTTTGATTTTTTTCTGTCACAATAATATTTAAATATTATAACTAATGATTTAAATTATAATAATAACAATTTACCTGAGGAAGTAGTTTATAATATAAAAAAGTCAATGGTAGTGAGATATTACAATCCAACCGTTCATGCCTATTTATTTAAGTATCATAATATAGATGTACCAACTTTTATTTTTAACAAAGACTTTGATTACAATCAGGGCATGACCACGAGCTCACACACGCGTCGGCTCACCACAGCTCGCGACTCGTGGTGACGGCATCGCGGGACACCACTTTCCGTTTATGGGACTTCCGCGAGCCCATACATTCCGTCTCCGTATTCCAAGGGCACACAGAGTATGTACCTTAACAAAACTCAAAGATTTAATCAAATTTATAAAAGATTTAATTCCGACGTTTTGTCGGCAAAAATGGTAAATCGCGTAAATTTATTTTAAACGAAAATCGACTTTATGACTTATTATACAAAGTAAGCATTATAAAAATTGATTGTAAGTACTTTAAAGAAAATAAAGTGAAAGATCGATAAATATAGAATTTTGATCAACCTTTGATTGCTTATTTCAATGTTGTCGTGATAGAAAAGACTGAAATAAACCTTTTGTTTATTGCTGTGTATTTCCGGCATAGAACAGGCCACTTTTTCCCGTGGGTGTCGTAAAAGGCGACTATGGGAATCTAATAGTCGAGGGATAGGCAGCAGCGTCACTCTTAAAACATCTGCAATCTGCCAAGCATGTCAACTACTGGCAAAAGAGGGAGGCCTTTGTTCACCAGTGGACAATAAACGGCTGATATGATATGGTAATTAGAATGTATAGACATTGATTAGATATTGTCAAGAGCTTATAACTCATCAGGAATATATTATATACTAGCGATCCGCCCGGCGTCGCACGGGTGGACATTTTTACTTTTTAAAAAGTGTCCATTAAGGCTGCACACGCGATGGAAGCTTAAAAATGGAGTAACTTCTTCCGTTTTCCCAACATTTCCCTTCACTGTTCTGCTCCTATTAATCGTAGCGTGTTGAAAAGTAATAACCTGCCCAGGAGTATGAGGAATATTTGTATCAAATTTCGTTAAAATCTGTCGAGTAGTTTTTGTTTCTATAACGAACATACAGACAGACAGACAGACAGACAGACAAAAATTTTACTGATTGCATTTTTGGCATCAGTATCGATCACTAATAATCAGCCCCTGATAGTTATTTTGGAAATATATTTCATGTACAGAATTGACCTTTCTACAGATTTATTATAAGTATAGATAGGGACTGGCCGTAATATTTCGTGGCTCTTTTGTATTAATAGACAGTTCTTGTTTATACTTCATATTTGATCACTTCAATAGCACAGCGGTAGGCACATTGCTTTTCCAGAAAACAGCTTATTACGAAGTCAAAGCCACATGTAAACACGCAATTACGTGTTCTAAATATAAATATTTTCAAGGTTGTTATATTAAAAAGTAGACAATGTCTGTAAATCGTCACTTGCAACTGCAATGTCAGCGTTACCGGAACACTCGAGGTGTCTCACGAATGGTGCAAACGAATGCTACCCGTATCGATTCCACGTAAACACTTATTTCTTATATTTTACTTAATTATTCTGTATCTGACATCGATCAAGAGTAGATATTATTTTAATTATATTTTTTTTATATTTTATTACATTTAATTTTAAAATTAATTGGTTTGTAGGGATTTACTTTAATGTATGCATGTGTGTGTTTGCGTGCATATATTTTAACGATTGATATCACCCCTTTTTTGCAAAGCTTTCTTTATTTGCTCACGGACACTGTTTTAAATTGTTGGTCTATGTTTTACAGGAGTGTCACTTCGGCCGTATTTACGCGTGAAGATAAAGTCGTCTCCGGCTCTGATGATAGATCAGTGAAGGTATAAATTTAGCAACTTTGCAATCTTATTTCATCACACATATATTTTTCGTATTTCCAAATGTAAGGATTACTAGTGTCTATAATATTTTTTAAATGGTTGCTAAAGAGCAATTAATTTTTTTATGATATCATAAAGGAGCAGATTGTAAATCTGGTAGTAAGAATGTTTTTGTATCTTATGCAACATACTCATAAATATCATGAGCGATACAGTATACTTTGATATGTCTATGCTGCTCATGTCTATAGGCGACGGTTACCACTTTCCATCAGGTGAGCCGTCAGCTAGTGTGCCATTCTAAGTTGCATGCAAAACTTATTCTGACTAAAATTGATATATAAATGTATATTTGCTCGTTGTGAGGCAAATTTACTTTAAAAAAAATTTAAGATCCCATAATAATTTTGTTACAAGTCACTGTTTTTATTTTTTACTACTAGCTATTACCCGCGACTTCGTATACGTGACAGGGATATGTTTACTGACCAGGATAAAAAGTAACCTTGTTCTTTCTCTATCCCATATCGTACGTGTATACCAAATTTTATAGTGATTGGTTAAGCCGATAAGGCGCTATAAGGTAACAAACCAACAAACAAACTCACTTTCATATTCATAATAAAGGATTTTTTTGCTAACACTAATTAGTTAAAAACGGGGGGAAAGGGATTGTTAGTAATGGAGTTTGACAGCCCCATTGCTAGCAATATGCCTTATTAGGTCGATCTCCACGTGGTTCCCCCCTGGAAACCACCGTGAACAATTCTTGTTGAATTCGTCACGATGGGTTAACTGACCTACTTCATCCTTACCTATCATCCTTCACTGGTGCCCCGCCGGTGTATGCCGATAGCGCGGGTGCGGTTACCATTCCATTATCATCCATTAAAAAAAATTGTTAAAAACATTAAAGCGACCCGTGTAATTCTTTTGTAGGTCTGGGATGTGCGTAATATGCGTTCAGCACTAGCAACTATCAGGTCAGATTCTTCAGTGAACCGCGTGGGGGTAAGCAGCGGCGGCCTGATAGCGATCCCACACGATAATAGACAAGTCCGACTGTTCGACCTGCAGGGACAGAGGTTGGCGCGTCTGCCAAGATCCAGTAGACAGGTAACGAATAATTTATGTTTAAATTCAATTTCAAAACCTTTACCTAAAAGAGCTTGTCTAAAATAAATTTCACATTTTATATTGCTTAATTATGATTGTTTATATTAGACACAAAAGTCTCCTGCAGTGACTTCCATCTCTCTCAGACCAGTCTCATTCACAGTGTACATAATACAACAGATCACCTCGTTTGAGGTCTTAATTTTCTTCTTTTAATATATAGCTAGGAGCCCACTCTATACAGCTTCTGTTTTATTTTAATGGAGACTATATTATTGTTATTACGTAAACAATTACAGTAATACCTCGACTTACACTACTCCAACTTACTCGAATACGGAATTACGCGATTCTTATTCGTGAACAATAAAATCTCATCTATTTTATTGTTTGAATGCTACTTACTAGATTACTCACATTTTCTCTACAAGCCTTCTGTATACATATTACCTTGTAAAGTTTCTTCATAGGGATTTTCTCCTATAATTTTGTTGTGGCATTTATATAGGGCCATCGGCGCATGGTCACATCGGTGGCATGGGCAGAAGACACACTCTCAAGCATAAACTTCTTCAGCTGTGGCTTCGACCGACGTATTCTTGGCTGGTCCATCCAACCTTCTAAGGAAAACTGAACGTGTTCACCTGGGTACAAGATATATGTCGTCTTGCAGCCTCGACACTGGCAAGTTACAACTTGTGGTGAGTCTCCATCAGCATACTACACCGGTCTTACTGTATCAATGCATGTAAATGCGTCAACACACAGTCTTCTTATTAAAATTGTACAGAAATTTATTGTTCTATTTGTACAACTTATTGGAAGTCGAAACTTGCATGTATGACTCTTTGGTTTTATATTACGTCATCAATGTGAAAGTAATAGACTTTAATCAGAGACAAAATAAGATTAAGTTTATTGAAGAGCACACAAGGATATCTGGATTGGTTAAATCTGAATACAAACAAAATTTATATCAAATTTTTAGATGTTCAATTAACAATTTATCATCATTAGATACTATAATTGTTGTATAATTTTTACTCAAATATATAAAACTCTAATTGGATATAGTGTTTTAAAAATATTTACATTAACAAATTAGGATGTTTATATAAAATCTAATGTGATTTAGTCACAAAATGTCTTCAAACCTTGTGCGCTTTTTAGTGAGTTAAGAATTGAGTACTAACACTATGTGTGTAATGCTCAAATAATATATATCTCAGTAATGAAGAACAATCAAAATTTCAATGAAAATTTCTCAAGTTGGAAGCACAAGTAGAATTAGGAAATGGCGTGTAAGTCATGTAAATGATTATCGAAGGAAATGAAACTGCATTCAATTGAATTATGGATTTATCATTGTTAATAATAAATATTTGAATCTCCTTTTTGTTATGATTTCTTTGCTAAATATTTTCAGATATTGAAATGACTGTTTTAACGTGTTTGCTATAAATAAAACTTTTTAAAGTTTTAAACGTAACATGGTATATCATATTTTAAATATAGCCTTTATCTATTGTTTTTCAATGCCATGTGTAGCATATGTGAGCAAATTGAATCGAAAAATAATTAAGGTACATGTATTAATCGTTTCTTTCCTCTAAATAAGCATGCATTGTAATACAAACTCAGCTTATTTATTTTCATACCCTTCTATTGCTGTGGTGAATTGTTATTTTTAAGTTTATGCACAAAATATAAACTATTGTGGAAAAAAATAGTTTCTATTAATGTTGTATAATGTTGTTGGAATTTAGTAGTTTATTAGCAAGCATTATGTAATTTAAGTGAACACAGATTTACCCATTGTCATTGATGATAAAAAAATATTCATCTTTGATTATGACTTGCTCTTAGTCTATTTGAATAGAACTGAATAAAAAGGTAACTAAGTTTTTTTTTATTATTACTGAAATACTTTCTAAATTTAATTTTTTTTATACCACTGAGGTGGCAAACATGCATACGGCCCATCTGATGGTAAGCGGTTACCGTAGCATATGAACGCTTGTAAATACCAGAGGTATTACGCGCGCGTTACCAACCCTGAAGAAATCTCTTTACCCCCCTTATGAAGAACCTCATGCTGTAGTCTCTTGGGAAAACTTCGGCAAGGAGCTCATTCTATAATCTGAGTATTCGTGGGAGAAAACATCTCTGAAACCGCGTTGTACGCGACCATTTAGGCTGTGGGATATAAGTGTGAAGGTATTAGAAAGAATACGAAATATTCAACTACTCGATTTTTGATTTGTGTGTCACGACTACTACATCTACATCTGCAGACTATTTTATAGTCGGTTGAATTACTCGTTTGTTTACATTTTTATTAAGTTCTATTGAAACAAACTGTACGGAGCGAGAGATAAGGAACATTGAAGTTCCCAATAAGACTATATTTAGAACGCTATTCGCGATACATAAAGCACCACATCTGCACAAACATAGTCAGCATGAAGGTCTACAGTATAAACAAAAGTTTGCCGTTTCCATAAACAAGGTCTAATAAAATCAAAAGCTAATTTTCTAGAGCCACAGTTATGAGTTGTTATAATGTTATTATTATAATTATAGTGAAGTAAAGAACATTTTGTAAAATCCATCCATCACACAAAGAATTACAGTTTCTGAATTGAAATTTTAGGCATTTCCGACATTATTGTGAATTTCTGTTATTTCATATATACATACATATACGGGAGTTTGTTACGGTTTTATTAAATTAAGTATATAGATTAGTGTTTAAATTACTTTGTTCGTCCAGTTAAGAATTATTAACGATATATGTAATTCGTTGCTTGTTTGTCTACGATAGGTGTATTTCTGACCAAAGGGAATTGGATTGAATATTAACTATTATATAAGGGTTTTCTTAATTTTATCACAATATAGTGGAGTTGACTAAAGGAACAAATAAATAGCACAGCTAGAAAATACAACCGTTCAGGTGTAATATATTTTTTTTAAATATAGACATACTAAAAGTGTTTTAGAAATAAATAACAAAAAGTCGTTCTTTCGGTTCAACTCCATGTTTAGGGAAGTGTTTTTCTTTTTTTTTCTATTTTTCTCTACTACGTCTAATTTTGGAATATGTCATATATGAAATGTGTCGATAAGTCGACCTGAGTGTCCATTTATTAGGCGTCCAGAGATCAGTGGTTTATCTATGGGTTGGTATGAGTTTTTTCTTAACCGACTGTGAGAATAATGAAGAGTAAATTCTTTCGAGTATGTATTTAGATCAGCATTTTTGATGCAATTATAAATTACCTGAATTTGACTATGTTTTTTTTTTATATCTTATACTAATATTAATATACATGATATTTTTTAACATAATAATGATAACTGTATGTCCTACAAAGTGTATATCATCGTTTAAACTTATCAATATCTATTCGAAAATAAGCAGTTACTGTCTCCTTTGATAGTGCTAACGATTCTAGAAATATGTTTATATTGCATTGTTATATGTAATATCCGTTTTATTTTGTAGCATCAGAATCAGCATTACTTTGTCATTATTTGTAAATACAATGTCAAGCAAAAATAGCTTCATTTGTCAACTTATATACTCTATACTTTTGATAAGTTCTTTCGCTGCTTGTCTACTGAATATACTCTTATTCCTTTTATTCTTTTATATATATTCTTCATTGCACTAAAACATACAATAATAACAAGTAGTTATTAACAATGTTAGCAAAGGCGAACTTATCTCTAAAATAGATTTGTTCCAGTCAACCTAACACAGTTGCATAGGAAGTAGTGGGCAGTAGTAGTGCTAGAAACTGAAATATTTACATAAATTACATTTTTATGTACAATATAAAATTTATTTCATGAATCAACATATCTGTTTACAAGTATACGATTGTGCCTACCAATGTATCAACACATACTCGGCATATACAGTGCGGTGCACTAAAACTATAGAAAATATACTAAAACATAATTTATTGGATTTAACAAGAGGATCCAAAAGTGTCAATTCAATGTAAAATATCTCGAGCAAAAAACTTTACACTCGTATCTACTGCGCTACAATATGCAGAAAATAAAATCAATAAGCTTTAAGAGAAATCACTGCTATTTTCTGAAGGAATGTATGAATCAGTAATATTGAATCGTAATAATATTAATAGAAAAAAAAAAAAAAACAACTGTAATAATAAAAATGGACAACATTTAAGGAGGTAAAAAAAGATGGCAGTTGAAGATCGATAGCTAATATGGAAGGTTTTAGAACTTCTGGTAGTAATAGTGGTGGTCAATCTTCGAGTGTTGACAGTCACACACATGCTAATAATGGCGGAATTAAAAAAAAAAAATAATCAAATTACTAGTGATATGGACTTCCGCAAGATAACACCTAGTACTGTAAAGTACTTGAGGAGACACTAGACTTTTCATTGCGCTGAACTTAATACTCGACATGACCCCATTTCCTATGTCATAACACTTCTATTTTGTAGTGATTTCTCTAAAATTCGATTTTTTTTTAACTAGTCGAATTATTATTACTAACCAAAGATGATCAGGGACACTCTAATTATCATTTGTAACCTACGTAATTGTTTGATTTATTTATATCTGGATTTATACCGAGTAGGATCAGTGTTTCCATTGAAAATAAGAACTGTGTCGACTTCAAATATTGAGACGAAGGTTAGGCTATTGATGTAGTGACTTGAATATTTACAGATATAAATTAGTGTCACTAATGCCTGTAATATTGAATACATTAATACTAATGTTATATTTATTATTTTTAAAAACAATAATGAAAGTTAAAATATAATGAATAAGTGAGTATATTACAGTCTACAATTTCAATTCATTGCATTTTTTATTAAAACAGTGGCGAATAGCATGTTATATAATTTTAGGTCTAATGTATTTAATATTATATGTATATTTTAGTTGTAAATGTTTGTTTTTATTTATTATCCCATAGAATACAGCTCATATTATTGGTGGCAGATTGTATCTAAATTATGCTAATTTTTAAGGTTGTGCAATTAATAAGTTTTGAGAGTTTCTTTATGTATTTCGGTTTAAATATTTGTAAATCTAATAATACAGAAAACTAAAATTTTGTATGTAAGACAGTAACTAATCCACCTTACATTTTATTGTTTTAAATACTGGGATATTACACTTCTATCTTGTAATTATTATAACGTAATGTGTATTACTATATATTGTTATTATATAATATTGTATCATAAAACACATTGTCTAAAAATTAATCCACTGATGTATAGATGAAATTGAAATAAAACTGTGATGTCATTCATAATTGTAGATAGACCATAGGTATTATACTGTATCTATGGTCATAAATAAAAAATAAAATCATTACTTATTTTTTTATGGCTTGTAGACAAATTATGATTGTGCCAAAATTCTTAATTTTAATTATCTGGTAAATATTTGAACATATTACAATATTATTTGTAATTAAAAATTAATATAATTCTTATATAAACAGTGGTATTGCTTCAGAAATTGATTACGTAGCGAGAACAAAAATTAGAAAATCTATAAATATTTTGTTCACCGTCTTCTTTCTCACATCACAGGGTATCCTATTTTGTGGACTTAATTGCAATCAACGTATTTTTATTTTAATTAGTTATATATACTATGTCTATAATACAACTAAAGACAGAATTTTACATTTATTCTACAACTAAAGATGAAATTTATTATGTAAAACATTACTGAAGGCAATTAGATGTCATTTTACAATGCTAGTTTCACATTATCACAAGACATGTATAATCGCGATCCCCTTGAAAAAAAAACAAGTCGATAATTGGCGAGAATAACAAACAGTAATTTCATTATATTTCTGTTGTTCAGTTACACGTAAATTTAGGGTTTTTTTTTTCAGAAGTTTTATTAAAAATTAAGGTCGACCGTCAGTCGTTTCATCGTCACCATTTTGATTGCTATACTGTTGATTGAGACTCCTTTTTTCAAAGTTTCTGAACAGGAAGATTATCCAGTCCAAAAATACCTAGTATATTTCTATTTGTTTATCATATTTTCTATGCTTATATTATTAAGTATATAAAAATTATTTTTCCACCTCATATACCATAGATAAAACATCAAAATATTGTTTAATATAATTTCTGTTAATGGTACAGTGCTATAGGTATTATTTTGTCACATTTATTTTTCTAGTCAAACTTAATATTTTGTTTTCATTTAAAATAATTCCTTTACGAATAAGTACCTATTATAATCAGATTCATGGACATTCTATTGTATTGTGAACACATAATCATTATTCAATAATAATATATACTTATGTAAGTAGTCGGTAATCAGAATGCATAATATTGAAATGTAATAATGTGCATACGATGTGTAAATTATAAACTTTGACTAAAATAAAAGAGGTAAGGTGCATCGCTACTTTTCGTGCAAACAATAATTATAACCTGCCTATATATATATATATATATATATATATATATATATATATATATATATATATATATATATATATATATTATATATATATATATATATATATATATATATATATATATATATATATATATATCTCGTTTAATCTATGGTTTTGACCTTGTTTAAATGGGTGAATATATAAGTCGATGTTGCGTACATGTTTTTTTTTATAACAGGGGCAGGTTCAACTTATCGCGGTTGGGATTTTTTCAATTCCATTAATATTAGAAAATGTTTTTCATATTTTATTAATATTTCTATATAACAATTATTTTAATATGTAATTGCCAATTAACTGTTCAATTATATATAAATAAATGGTAAATGTATTTTGGAGACTTGTGTTTGCGTGTAATGTCGAGTCCTTACATTGTTTAAAAATGTATCTTCCTATTTTATTTTAATGAAAGTTTATAATAAGAACTATAAAGGTATCGGTTGTTGAGTATCATATGAGAGTGATCTGAATATTTTTGTTATGCCAATTATGGTACGAAATATATTATAGATGGTGAAATATTCTTTTATTGTTTTTATTCAGATACCCCATATTCCCTAATTTGTACTGAATACAATTTATCAATTATCAGCGAGTTACGATCATCAATACAGGATACATAAGTTTTCGTTAGTATACGCATGAAACAACAATTCGTTTAATATTTCTGTCTCGTTTTATCTGATACGCGTAGTAACAATTACGTAGCTATAAATGGAATGGTAACCCCACCCGCGGTATCGTTATTCGTTATACACCGACGAGGCACCAGTGTGTGGTACCATCACTACTCTCTCTAATATTGTACAGAATTAAAGCCCTAAACATGTGCATTACTAGTAGAGAGTTGTAAAGAATATTTTGTTTCCAATGCAAAAGGGGACGAAAGTTCTATTATTGTCGAATTTACTACAAATATAATAAAAAATTATATTATCAAAAATATAAAAATTTGCCTGCTATCAATTGAGAAAAATAGCAACTGATGGTGTATCTTTCATCCCCTTTCTATTAATCATATTTGCATAAGAAGAAAAAAGGCAACCATATGATTTAGTTTTTATTTTATCATTCCTTCTATGTAACTCTTTGTTCTAAGATTTTGACAACCGTATTAATAGGGTTAATAAAATATACACAATATTTCATCTTGTAACGGCGGCCATTTTGAAAATATTGATAATAATAAATATATGTACATGTAATAATGTTATCCTTTGTTTTATTTTTGCTAAAAAAATGTTTATTAAACGTGCAATTTGACATAAAATTTACATATTTCTTTCATCACATGATTTGCGTTTCAGTGAAGTATTTATATTTTATTAATATCGTAATACTATATAATCATAGTATACTTATAAACCTATTCGTTTCCATTTCAACATTGGGCTGGCCAACATAACAAGAAAAGGAGAATTTTTTATACATTGGTAAATTATTCCCTAAGAACAAGGCATTACTTAGAAGGAATGATAAAATACAAACTGTATATCATATGGTTTTTTTCTTTCTTCTTTTGCAAATGTAATTAGTAAAAAGGGGATGAAAGATATACCATCTTGCTATTTTTCTCAGTTCATAGCAGGCTAGTGTATAAAAAATGTTTGACATATGAATTATTTGTCATGACAAATTTTACATTTCTAGATTATACATTCGACACAGTTAATGCAGAAAGTATGCAAGTAGGTTGTATTTGAATTTGGTAGAATTATACGACCGTGTAACATTGTCTATATACTAGTCCGTGTTCTTAGGTTATTCCTTTCATTATAATCACAGAGTACTTTGTATTATAATATACATACTCTACTCTTTGGCAAAACGATGTCCAATCATTGCACGTCTTTAGACATAACCGCTGTAATCTGTGGTCACTTTGTTTACCACATACCTTTACCTTTGAAATCTATATCTGATTTTTTATTTTTTTCTAAGAAACTTTTAATTTCAAAGTAGAATGGGCATGTAGGAAACTGTTACTAAAAGTTTAATGCAAGAAATCCATTCATTAATGTACATTGAAAATGGATGAGTTGCGTGCTTTTTTTAACAATCCGTGTCCGTCTCGTTCTCAAGTGATCAAACTTCGTGGGCCTATGACTGGAGGCTTAAGAATTACCAAGGAGGACGATATAAATTTATTGAATAGAAAGGAAGAGCATCGTCGGACTGTCGTCATGAGTGGCACCGATTATGCTAGAGAGGTGAAAGAACGAGAAACTGAAATGTATCTCAAGGTAAGTGAGGTTGTTTAGTTAGGCTGATTGGAGAATTAGTTACAAAATAAAGGGGTTCCTTCGATCTGTAACCAAAACAAATTGTCATGTCATACGTAAGAAGTTTCTTTGAGGACATTGGAAAACTTTTACATCATGTAGTTACCTGAAGATGGAATATTAAACGACAAAATTTGTCAATTTAATCTACAATGTGAAGGGGGTAAAGTGATTGTTATTAATAGGGACTAGGGGCCCCATTAGAGTTATGACTAAATATTAGACACAAATTTTGCTACTGTGGAAATGTGCTATATCACAATACTGCACAGAAACTTGTTGCTAAACTTTTACTTGTGTTGTATATAATCCTCTGAGAAGATGAGAAGAAATATGATGTACAATTATGCATCAAACATTATTTATTTATTTTTATATAGATTATTACAAAGAAAATTATTTCGATTCCTCTGTCCCATTCGTGTTTCAACCATGAAGCAGTTGTGTTTTCATAGCTGTATTTCGGTTTAAAGGGTGGGATATGATGTGAATTTACAGGGTATAGAGGAATAACATCTAAGTCCTCAGGAATGGCAATGCATGGGGGGTATCATGGGTGAAACAATATACTCTGTTATGTCCATGGTACTGCTCATGTCTATAGGTGATGGTTACCACTTTGCATCAGGTGGGCTGTCAGCTTGTTTGCCGTTCTAAGTTGTATAAAAAAAACTACATTATTATTTAAATGAATATTATCTATGCTCATTTTAAATATTGCTGTATAGTTCAGTTGAATTAATTGTTTAATGTAATGTATTTAGAATGAAACACAACGAGAGAAATGGCAAAGTGTAGCAGAAGGGCTGGAGTCATTGGAGCATCTCTCCTCATGGGGAGCTTCGGTACAACATCTGAATGAACTCACAGAAGAAGCAATGACTCAAGTTTATAGCAAGTATTCCTTTCAAAAGAAGGAAGATAATAACAATCTAGTTATCAATGAATATAAACAACAGGTATCTAAATAATACTACTAATATATATAATAGTATAGATAGATAGATTCTCTTTATTGTTTCCTCCACAAGATTACATTAGTAAACTTATTATACATACAAAATTACAATACAATCACAAGGAAAGATTACACTGAGGAACCAAAGGGTGGGGTGCTATATAAATAAAATAAAGTTATTCAGATGTAAATAAAATTTTCTAATCTAGTAAACTCGTAATTGGACAGTGTCTGTACATAGGAAATATTTAAGAAAAATTATGCTAAGAGGTTTTAATATGAGCAATAGAAGCCACAATAATTTTTAGATTTTTTTTCTGTCTGTATGTTTGTTCTGGCATTAAGTAAAAACTACAGTACCAAATCAAATATGGTATTCATAATTGTGTTCCTAAAGCTCTAACATTGAAATTGATGTGTGTTTCATTTTATATATGCCATCTAAAAATGGTCTGTTTACTTGGTTTTCCTACTTTTGAAAACCACACATACAAAATAGCAGACAAAAAGCTGCAGTAATATTTTTATACACATATAATTTGTTACTTTCAAATGGATATTGTTTTAAATTATTTGAAGGTTTGGTTTTGTAGCAGTTGTTGTGAGCTTGAATAAAATTGGCAGTATATATATATATATATATATATATATATATATATATATATATATATATATATATATATATATATATATATATATATATATATATATATATTTAAAATTTTTCTGACATTGTATTTTAAAAAATTGTAAATATTTTGACTCTATTATTACCATGTTAGCATAGCATTATTAAGTAATTAACATTCAAACACAGGTTTTCTGACTGATAAATGTAACTGGGATTATTATTAAAAGGTTAATTAAACAAAAATGTTTATTTTTATGCAATTATTAGTAAGCTGATTTCTATTTTTTCTAGTATTTATGATAATTTAATATATGAGGTCCTGCTTATTTATAAACTCAATCTTACCATAGATGAACCTTGCTATGAAATACAACATGTTTCATGTGCTTTTTTTTTTAGATTTTAGACAGAATATCTGGCTATCCAGTAGTCATTATTGAAGGTCCAACAGGATGTGGTAAGACCACACAGGTGCCACAATGGATCTTGGATGACTGTTACCAAAAGCGCAAACCTTGCAAAATAATAGTCACCCAGCCGAGGAGGATTGCCGCTATATCAATTGCCAAAAGAGTTGCTCAGGAGCGAGGCTGGGATGTTGGGGGATTAGTGGGTTACCAGGTAGTTACTAGTTATTCTGTTGTTATTGTATGCTTTTTATTATTACCATCATAACTGTAAAAAAGATTTTGTTGCTGTAACTTTTTCATTTTATGATTTAATAGTAGTTTTTATTTTTACTGTCTCCGTAATTCCTATGCTTGCCAATTGGAACTGCAGTCAGGCTTTACACTGCTTATTTGATAAGAATTATTTTGTTTAATTCCACTACCATTGGTATGTGTGTGATTGTCAATATTCGAAGATTGATCACTATTCAAAGTCAAGCTCCAAAATTTATGTTTAGAATTCTTGTCTCCTCCAACTATAATGCAATTGCCAAGTGTTTTGAAGTGGTTGGAAAACGTTGCATTGCTAATCTTATGTTTAGGTGGAGAGGGTACACCTGACTACAGACTCACCCAGTCCTCAACTCTTGCTGTCTTATATAGTTGTTGTATATTGTTTTAATATTTATATTTAATAGGTTAAGGTTATGTCTAAGGCTTAATTTTGTGAAGTGTAATTAATATTTTTATTTGTTATTTTAGGTGGGACTTGAAAACAAAACGTCAACTGATACTCGTATACATTATGTTACCACAGGTATACTGCTACAAAAGTTAGGTAAGGAACTATAATTTTCATGGTACTTTTTATCCTTTATTTATGTAGTAATTTTATGACTAATTATTAGAAGATATATATAATATTCTTTATTGCACTTGCAAGTTACATATAATATAATGTATTTATAAATGTTGTGTGCAAGGGTGGACTTATCTCTGACAGAGATCTCTTCCAGTCAACCCAGTACAGTAAGAAAGCATTTCGTTAGCAGGCAGCTGAAGTGCTACGATATCAGAAATAGATAAAATCTTTGAAAAAAAATAGATAAAATTAATTATGTGTATGAACATCAGAATTGCTTTAAATAAGACTATGGGAAGTAATATATTGATGTGCCTTGGTGTGCAAAGATTCTCTGAATTGCAAATCGCATATGCCGCGGTAGCCATATCATAGATAATTCCACACAACCAACGTAGTGGGGGGAAAGGGATTGTTAACAATGGATTTTGACAGCCCTATTCCTAGCAATATGCCCTATTAGGTCAACCTCCACGTGGTTTCCCCTGGGAACCATTGTGAACAATTCTTGTTGAATTGGTCACGACGGGTTAACTGACCTGCTTCGCCGGTGTATACCGATAGCGTGGCTGGGGTTACCATTCTATTATCACCCATTAAAACAATACCAATATGGTTAAATCATAGTTATTTCATAGTAGTATAAAATATGAATTGTATATAGTAGTAACTATAGAGTTCTGTACAATAAAGCTAGTTTTTTTTTAATGGATGATAATGGAATGGTAACCTCGTCTGCGCTAGAGGTATAACAATGGCGTAGCACCAATGAGGGATGATAGGTGAGAATGAAAAGGCAGGTCAGTTAGCCCATCATTATGAATACACCTGGAATTTAGCCAATGGTTTCCATACATGATAATATATAGGCGACCTGACCGGGTATATTGCTAGCTATGGAACAGGTAGTCTGCATTACTAATAATCCCTTCCACCCCAAAGCCAATTAGTTATCTAGGTTTTTCTGAATTTTATCTCGTAATTTAGCTATTGTACGTGAAGATTATGTGCAACTAAACTAATAAACTTAATTTGTTAGCGTTAGAGAAGTTACTTAACGATAAGGCCGCCTTTTGTATCACTTCTCAATAATATTTACTGTAAAACACTTTATTGCACTAAGTAAGTAAATACTATATTTTTTTTACGTAGTGCAATGAAGTGTAGAATAAATAAATCTTGTATTCTATTTCAGTGGCTGCGAAAAACATGAATGAGTATACCCACATTATTCTCGACGAAGTCCACGAGCGTGGTCAAGAGATGGATTTCCTCCTACTCGTAGTCAAGAGGTTACTGTACACAGTGTCCCCAGGAGTTAAAGTGGTGCTTATGTCAGCTACATTCAACAGGAAAGCGTTTGCTGACTATTTTCTTATTCCCACGCCACGAGGTCTACAGATGTCTTCTGGTGTCAAAATCGTGAAGAAAGAACCAATGTTTACAGTGAAGACGTTTTATTTGAACCATTTAAATAAATTTGGTTCGGTGAGTCGTTTTATCATTACAATGCATATTTGTAATTTGAAGTTATTGGTAGTAAAGATAAGGTGTATATATTTAACTGTCAGATTATATTAACCGATAAAAAGCCGGTCAAGTGCGAATCGGACTCGCGCAACGAGGGTTCCGTACAAAATTATCAAGTAAATTTTTTTTTTGTGAAATAACTACGATTTTACGGATATTTTTCCTTTACTTGTGCTTATGCCATGGCATTGTTTCTTCCTAAAGTACCCTATAGGTTTTGATTCCCTTTGCAAACGTCTAAATATGCGATATGAATGAAACATAAATGGCTATATCTTTTGATTGCGTAGATTTAGAAGCTTAACTTTTTCACTGTTTAAAGAGATTGTAGACTTGAGTATATGCATTCCTAAGAAAAAAGTCTTGGTAGACGGACGGACGGACGGATAACGAAGTAATCCTAAAGTAATTATAAACGTTATATCATAAATAGCAATAAGTAAGGTTAAATCAATAGGGTTTATTTTCGTGTTGATTCTATACTTTTAAATAAAATATTCTACCGAGTTTACGAAATTTATTGTAATTCACAAGTGCATATTTTTTTATTGAAGTCGTCGTTTCTATTTTCGTAGAGTAAAATATACTTTTTAAATTGTTATTCTGAGTTTTATCTCTTATACTAAATCTAAATTTCCAATAGATACTTGAATTATCAAGACCGAAAAGAGAGGAGCCTGGTATAGCTCCTGCCATGTACCACTTGGTTATCAAGTTGGTGAATGCGTTTGAGCACATCGATAAACAAGAGGACACATACGAGGATCGTTCTGAAGCAGACCTGCCGTCGATTCTAATATTTTTGCCTGGAATAAATGAGATAGAAGATCTATATAAATGTTTGACAGACATTGAATTAAGGTAATAATAACAAACAATATTATTAGTATATAATTTTGTTGTGCTTGGTGTTACAGAGGATGAATTTTATTTGATTTTAACCTTAGGCCTTCAGGATCACAATTATGAAAACAGTATTCAATTTGGCGTAGTAGTTTTTACGTGATGCCGAAATAATAATATTTTTTTTTATACAACTTAGAATGGCAAACAAGCTGACGGCCCACCTGATGGAAAGTGGTAACCGTCGCCTATATACATGAGCAGTACCGTGGACATAACAGAGTATACTGTTTCACCCATGATACCCCCCATGCGTTGCCATTCCTGAGGACTCAGATGTTATTCCTCTGTACCCTGTAAATTCACGCCATATCCCACCCTTCAAACCGAAATACAGCCATGCAAACACAACTGCTTCACGGTTGAAACAGGAATGGGACAGAGGTACCCAAGCAATCGATTTTTGTACAAAGTCTCCCTCTGGTAAACACTCGTCTCTCACTCACAAAACAGACAGACAACATTTCAAAAAGATATTGTTTTGCTTCTATTGCTCTTAAGGTCCTTCATATAATTTTTTCTTTAATAACTCCCATGTATAGACATCGTCCAGTTACAATTTTATTTATTACTAAGATAGGTATACATTTATTTATTTACTCTTTATTGCGCCATTTAAGAATAATACAAATAATAAGTTTATTTTACATTTATAAAGTATCAAAGGTGATCTTATCGCTAAAGCAATCTTTATCAGAAATTCAGAAGAGAAAAAAAGATGGTAGTTATTGGCGCAAGAAGTGTATCTAATATAAAATATTAATTATATATCTATGTATGTAAAATTTGATCATTTGTGCTTGTTATAGAAAAAAAATAGTAGACACAGAATGCGCGTCGTACAAGTGGTGGGTGCTGCCACTGCACTCCACGATCACGGCAGATGAGCAGGTGAGGGTGTTCCAACGGGCGCCGCCCGGACACCGCAAGATTATACTGTCCACCAACATTGCCGAGAGCTCTATCACCGTGCCCGACATCAAATACGGTACGTACATATTTTTATTTTTTATTACCTGTATCCTTAGATTATATAGATAGAATGTTTCCATAGAAATGCTTCGAGAAAAACGGGTTAACTTTTTCATACAATTTTGCGTGATAAATAGTTGAGTGATTCCTTTACAACTTCTATATTTATTTTGTCTTATAATTTCTGCATCTTTTAACACAACAGTCATTTTATTTATTAAATAAAACGTTAAGATACATTTTATGCTTAAGTATATAGAACACTGATAAAAGAAACGAGTTAGCTAATTTGACAATTAGCTGACAAAAATTGATTCGTATTGTAGGTTTGATGCTTTATCTATATAATCTAAGCCTGTATCCTATGTCTTCGTCCGCCTAAAACAGTATATTAAATATTATATGTTCCATATAAATGTTATAAATGAGTTAGTATATGTTCAATTATAAGCTTTACCAAATTTTAGACTGTTCAGTAGCTTTTGCGTGATAGATAATAGAAATCCATTCGCGTTTATAATAGTAGTAAAATTATAAGAATTTGCTCATTCACCATTCATTTATTATACGAGGTCTGTCCGGAAAGTTCGTATAAAAGTGTTCTGGAATGCGAGAAAGAGGAGTGGGGAGGCCAGGTAAGCGCAGGACCCCTTCCTTATGTCCCTAACAATGCTTCAGTTCTGGTCTGACCGCCGTGCGGTGCGAACTGGCTTGTCACGCCATCTGTGAAGTTACCTCTTAACGAAACCCCGTCGGCATGGAGACCGCTTCCGTTGAAGAGCAGCGCGTCGTAATCAAGTTTCTCTCGAAACTCGGCAAGAATGGCCGTGAAATTTTTGCCGATCTCAGAACAGTTTATGGGGATGATGCTGTGAAGGAACCAACCGTCCACAAGTGGCTAAAAAGATTCAGAGAGGGCCGAGAAAGCGTTCAAGATGACCCACGTTCAGGACGTCCTTCCACTTCACATTCCGACGAAAACGTGGAAAGAATTCGAACCTCCAGGCCAGACAGTTGATGGAAAATTCTACGTCGATGTGCTCAGACGCCTCAAAGCTCGTGTGGCACGAGTTCGTCCAGAATTGGCGCGAGAGGGGCGTTGGATTCTTCACCACGACAATGCCCCTGCCCACACCTCTCTTGTTGTCCGTGAGTTTTTGAGTAAAAATTCCATTACGGTGACCGAACACCCCCCTATTCGCCGGATTTGGCCCCGTGTGACTTCTTCTTGTTCCCAAAAACCAAATTGGTACTTCGGGGGCGGCATTTGGGGGACATAAATGAGATAAAAAAAGCTACGACGGGGCAGCTGAGAAACCTACAACCAGAGGACTTTCAAGGAGCCTTCTCACAGTGGAAACGGCGTTGGCACAAGTGCATTATGTCACAGGGGGAGTACTTTGAAGGGGATAAAATTGATTTACCTGAATAATTGTAAAATAAAATTTTTAAAAAACTTTTATACGTACTTTCCGGACAAACCTCGTACATACATACATACATACATACATATCTGTCACTGTGACAGGTATGTATGTATGTATATATGTATATATGTTTGACAGACATTCCGTCCCTTCATTTATTATATAAACGCTTATTTGTTATTCTTAACAGTGATCGACTTTTGTCTGGTGAAGATGCTAGTGGCAGATGAGTTCACGAACTTTACGTCATTGGAGCTACAGTGGGCTTCAAAAACCAACTGCGAGCAGCGTGCTGGTCGCGCCGGTAGAGTTCGCGACGGTCGCGTCTACAGGCTTGTTACCGACAAGTTCTATGTAAGTGGCCAACTATTTAATAATAATTGAATATCACGTTTTTTTTAAATAATTTGGATAATATTATAAAATTTTATCATTAGATACCTGTACATAACCAAAACACGAGATTTTGAGTTTTTTGCATGAAATTTTATGCTCTTTTACAGTTATGTTCTAAGGAACGTAGTTTTTTTTTATCAGTCCTCTTAAGGTCCGCTTTAAAAACTATATAGTGATTTGTTTTATTTTGATATTGAGAAGTGGTTTATTACATTGGTTTTCCTAAAGTTTTCAAAATTCACGCGTACATACAGGCAAAAAATTAGTACGAGTATGTTATAAAATTTAAGACTGTTATATTCTATCAAATTCAGAAAGGGACTTCACAGATTAAAATATTTTTGTATGTTACGCGATATCTTCGCTTGTAGACATGAACAGCACCTATTACTGAGATGTCCATGGTACTTTTCATGCGTTGCCATTCCTGAGGACCAAGGTGTTATTTGTTTACATTTAAATAAATACACATTATATTAATACAGATTTAACAGAGTAACTATTGAGTTTCTTGCGGCTTCTTCTCAATATATAACAACTTTTCCGAACCATTTATTCATAAAAAAATTAAGATTTAAAAGTGCTCGTAATCAAGCCTATTTGAATACACGATCGGGACTTAACGTCGTGATCACGACAGGACAACGAGTTGACATCTAAAAAACTCGGTGTGTTTAATAGAGCGAAGCGTTACTTCACACCGGATCAGCGATTAATGCTTTACAAATCGCAAATCCGGCCCCATATGGAGTATTGCTGTCACTTATGGACGGGAGCACCTAGATACCAGCTTGTCTTTTATGAGAATCGTCGATAATCCCAGGCTTGCAAACGGTATCGAAACCTTAAGTCTTAGGAGAGATTTTGCCTCATTCTGCGTGTTCTACCGCTTGTACAACGGATTGTGCTCAGAGGAATTATTCAGTATGATGTTTACGGCCACTTTCTATCTTCGTACGGCTCGCCATCGACAGGGAATTCACCTTCATACCTTACAGCCTAAATGGTCGTGTACAACGCGGTTTCAGTGATGTTTTCTCCCACGAACACTCAGGTTATGGAATGAGCTCCCTGCCGATGTTTTCCCAAGAGACTACAGCATAGGGTTCTTCAAAAAGGGGGTAAAGAGGTTTCTTCAGGGTCGGCAACGCGCGCGTAATACCTCTGGTATTGCAGGCGTTCATAGGCTACGGTAACCGCTTACCATCAGGTGGGCCGTATGCTTGTTTGCCACCTCAGTGGTATAAAAAAAATAAAGAAGCAGGTATGTAGTTACTTTTTACCTGCAAACATTTTTCGTCGCGTTAAGTCCCGATTGTGTATTCGAGTTAAAATTTGTGTAAACAACGCGAAAGTTTAAAATTAACTAAGTCTATTTGAATAAAGATGATTTGAATTTAAATTCTGAATTTGTTTTACAGGAAGGCCTTCCACAAGATTGCCCGCCTGAAATAGTGCGGTGTCCATTGGAGCGGCTGGTACTTCTTGCCAAGATGTTGGACATGGGTCCGCCCAGCGACATCCTCGCGCTCGCTATGGATCCGCCAGATATCTCCAATATACACCGCACCATACTTGTGCTTAAAGAGGTGACTATAAAATTCAGATTATTGGCCCATTGTTAGCTATATGTCAGGTCAATCTCCATACAGATTCTCTTGGAGATCATTATGGTAATTTCTTGATAAATTTGTTATGATTGTCCATCTGACTAGATCATATTCTCGCTACTTGTATTGACGCTGCTGCTCATCTCTCGCCCTCCTTCTCGTCCTTCCACGGGAAAGGAAGGGGTGTTCGACTGTTGGCAGTCACACCCATTCTAATGGTAGCGGAATTAAGCAAAATAATTCTAATCAAATAACCAATAACTACTTTTTACCCAAGACATTTGAGCAAATTATTGTTTTTTTATAATGTATATATGAATTGTATTACAGATGGGAGCATTGAAGAAAACTTTTGATGACCAATGGAATTCCTCTGATGGAGAAATCACATACTTGGGACGCATTATGGCCAAGCTACCACTTGATGTTAGGGTGTCAAAGCTGATTGTACTCGGATATATCTTCGGGTGTTTGGAAGAAAGTGTTATTATGGGTAAATTATTATTATTATAGTAACACATCTATAAATTCTTTGATATTGCCTATGGGCACATACCATTAGGTGAGCTGCATGTTCGTTTTCTTTCAGTGTTATAAAAAAATGGATAAAGATTTTATAGATGTATTGTGAAAAGTTGTAACTAGATAGCATTTTTTTGTTGTAAATAGGTAGTGATCATCTCTTACTAAAAAAATATATATATATTTTATTTTTACCTCCTTACAATCAACTTAGATTTACACATGTGGTATTTCAAATAAAAATAAGATTAAATTAAGGAGCTGGTGTCTGAAATAGGTTAAAACCTGTAGTACAGATCACCAGTAATAAAATTAATTAAAAGATAAGTAAATGGAATAATAATTAAAATATGAAAATAACATTTCAGTAATTATTGCGATCGAAAACAACTCAAAGTAGGCGAGGTTCTAACCTGCACCTGTACATCATACCAATTTTATTACCAGTTGAATTACCGTAGATATGTATTTTTTTTTTATTACAGCGGCCGCAATGTCTGTGAAAAGTATTTTTAACAGTCCATTCCGTGAGCGACTAAATGCTTACAATTCCAAATTGACGTGGGCTGACGGTTCGACTAGTGATTGTATTGCGTTTTTGAATGTTTATAAGGTAAGAATTTTTCTGTACAGTTTGTTAGTAATATCTTAGGTCCGTTTTTTAATGTTTACCAGGTATAAGAGAAAGAACATAGCCCACTATTACTATACTGCCCAGCGATAATCATTATCACCAGTTAACTGTCCATTGCTGAACATAAGTCTTCCCGTTGGGAGGGTTTGCAGTAGTTGCCACGTTTGGCAAGCGAGTTGACAACCGCAGTTAGCCTTTGATGATGTTTTAAGAGGAATGCTGCTGCCCATATCACGACCATTAAGTATCCTTAGTGGCCTCTTACGACACTTACGGGAAAAGAAGGGGTGGCCCATTCTATACCGGGACCACATGGCTAATATAATATATAATATACCATAATTCCTTCAAATGATATACATCTACATAGTGAAAACCAATAATTTGCGTTCCTTTAAAGGAGTTTCCTAACGGGGAAATTAAAGAGTTTCCAAATAAATAAATAATAATACTTAGGGAGACTCTAAAGTGTTTGTCTTTATTTATCCTATGTTTCTATAAAAGAAAATATTTAGTATCACTAATGAGTTGCTTCCTTAAAATTATACCAATGAGTTAACGTCACCTGTACGTATATAAATTAGTCCTCTCCATCCAAACGCTGCCTGGAAGAGATCGTTTTTAGCGATATGGTCACCCATTGTTTTCTTATTGTGATTATTTCTTGTAATTGTTTATATTTATAATAAGTTTACTATTGTAATCTTTTGGAGGAAACAATAAAGAGTATCTATCTATGTAGTAAATGCATAGACGGAATAATGGATTATCCATTTAAACCAGAGGGAGACTGTACAAAAGTCGATTGCTTGGGTACCTCTGTCTCATTCGTGTTTCAACCGTAAATTAGTTGTGTTTGCATGGCTGTGTTTCGGTTTGCAGGGTGAGATATGGCGTGAATTTATTGGGTACAGAGGAATAACACCTGAGTCCTCAGGAATGGCAACGCATGGGAGGTATCATGGGTGAAACTATACTCTGTTATGTCCATGGTATTGCTCATGTCTATAGGCGACAGTTACCACTTTCCATCAGGTGGGCCGTCAGCTTGTTTGCCATTCTAAGTTGTATAAAAAAAATCAAAGTATATGGTTTGTCAGTGCCACATTATCAAAATCCTGTGTAGTGGGTCATTTGAAAAGTACTATTTATATATACATTTATTATCTGTAGGTTTGGAACCACCTTCGACAACAAAATTATTTTAAACAACAAGGTAACAACGAAGTGGAGTGGGCACGGCGGTTCTACGTACAAGTTCGCGCGCTCAGAGAACTCGACGACTTAGTACGGGAGCTGCGTGTCCGTCTGTCGCGTGAGGGCATTGAGCCCCTTAAAGGGAACTCGCCTTGGGACAAACATGAACTATCCCTTGTTCTAAAGGTATGTTTATAAGGTTTATTTTTGATATGTTATTTACTTACATTGTTATAAGTTGTCTGGAGGTGGTGGCCTGGTGGCTATAGCACAGGTTTTTCTAGTTCAACCATCATACATTCTTACATACACTCAGTATTGTTAAGTAAATAGTTTGTTTATACAGTATTGTGGAGAATGAATAGTTTGAATTTATGTTTAGAAGGAAATTATCTTTGATACTATCATTTTTAAAGCACTTTAAAAATGGACGACATGCTACCTAATAGAAAATGATTCACCACAAATTATAGAAAAAAAAAAAACAATATCATAGACCTTACAGTCTACACGTGTGATGCTCATGGCATCAATCAAGATTTTTCAAAGAATTTTTGTAATCGTAATTGATATTTTCTCAAAATCTTTTGTTGAATCTGAGTCTTAGTATGTTACATATTACTCAAAATATTTTTTTTTATGGTTTTGGTGACTAGTTTTAGTTCTTCATTTTTATTTGTACATTATATCATGGTGGGAGTGGAGATTTTGTACAAAAAATGCATGAGAATCTGTTTTAATTTCTACTTATATTTCTGTCACAATATAAATTGTGTTTGCATGGCTGTGTAGATCCACAGTGCTAGTAATTATTGGTGACAGTTACTTGCAATTGAAGTGGGCATATTTGCCGTTTATAATAGTAATGTAATGTAAATTGGGCTCTCTTTTCCGCGCTTAGCCTCTCATTTGGGCCGTTGTGCGTATGAGTCGTGGCTAGTACAGCCAACCCAGCTCCGCCCAGAAGCACAGAAGTTTCCTGGAATCTTCACAGGCCTCACGGACCTCCGAGGATTCCTAAACGTTGAGCCATAGCTTCACATTTCAGGATTACATGAGCAGCCGTTTCTTCGGCATCAAAACAGCCTCCACATAGAGCTGCCTGTGGCTCCTATCATTATTAATTGTACAAAAAAACAAGTTGTTCACGTATATGTGCAGAATGTCTAATGGAAATATTAATATAGATTATTAAATATACAAATGTGAACATCAAGATCCGGTATAATATGTAGTAACGTGTTTTGACAGGTGCTGCTGGCGGGCGCATTCTACCCGCAGTACTTCGTGCAGGTGTCGCAGGACGAAGTGCGAGAGCGTGACGCCATACGCACGCTCGGTGGACTCGATCCCAGGAACACGGTGAGATTTTTTTATTACACGATGGGTTCGTGCTTAGGATAAATCCTAACCCTCATTTTATCGAAAGTTGACGAAATTTAAGAACTTTCTTATTGTAAGGCACATTGGAGCCAATTTTAATGTCGATGATTGCTGATTTTGATATAATTCAAATTTCTATTTAATATCACAATGAAATCTTTATTCTAAGGACCAATATGAACTAAATTTGTAATAGATTTAAAATAATAATTATTATAAATTTAATATAATAATAATTATAATAAATCAAAATTATTATAAATTTGTTTTTATTGTTGTTATTATAAATTTGATAGTCTATAAAACAATAAATTTGTGAAATTATCAAATTACATTAATAGGGTAAGAGATACTTGTCAAATAAAAAAAAATCTATTCTTTAATATTTTTTTTGTTTTTGCTAAGTTTACTACTATAGATTTTTTGATAAATCATATCTATTTTTAATATGCTCGAAAAATTATTTAAAAAGCTACATTCTGTTTGCTATTTTACTCGAATATTTGATATTAATATGTGAAATATTAAAAGTTACTTAGTCGATATATTAAAAACAAGAAAAAATATCTAATATCTAAAAATTAAAATAAAAATTTAATAAATTCCGTAGGTGTACCTGAAGAACTTTCCAGAAAATCAGCCGGGCGATGTGTACGCCAGCGCTATCAAGAAGATAGTACGACAGCAAATTGGAGACGAGCCTCGAGTCACTTTTGATAAAAATAGCAGGTCAGATAAAACCCATTGAAATTGTTGTGCTTCACGAAGGATCAATGTGGTATGATTATAAAGCTAGTAGTACCAACAATGATTGGGGAAGAACGATTCTCAATGGATAACTTTTTTTTTTTGTTTCAGGAAAGTTTATCTGACTTTCACTGATAAAAAAAATTCAAGGACAGCCAGCAATAGCGGTGTAAGTTTGGATCTTATATAATTATATTGACTTACTTTTTTTTATTATATTTTAAGAAAATTAAAAATGCTTTTTATCATAAATAAAAAATGTGGTTTAGCTATGGGGTAATACTATAGGGATCATATAAGCACAAATAAAGTCAACAATAGACTAACGCCTCTTAACAAAATTATGATCACGAGATGAATTTAGGGTGGATAATCGAGCTACCACTCGCGCTTTTATTTTTGAATTAGATGCCATCCATAAAAACGTCACAGGTTATGAGTCAATGAATTTTAATATTTTTCGTGACGTCACATTTTATTTTATTTAAGTATTGAAATTTAAAAATATTTCCAACTCTTTATATGGACATAAGGTTTAAATTCGCTTTACAAGTATCACCCGCCGACTAAGAGCCCTTTGATAAATTCACACGCACAAAATATATGACGTCACAATAGGGAAGTAGAAGTCTCATAAATGTGACCAACTGTGAAAAGGACGGGGATGGAGTCAAGAGTCATGAAATTCGTGTTACGTAATTTATGGATGGATATAAGTATTTTATTTTTTAGGATCCAACAATACCTGGACAAGTGTTGCTATCGGTATATAAAGCAATCAAAGCCCGGCAATTGAAGATGGATATTAGGGTGCCATTATTACCGTAAGTACCTCCTTTTCTTTTCTATGAAAACCCTCTTTAACCATGTTTTCTATTTAAACTATTGTAATTAAAATATCACAAATACTAGAAAAATCGAGAAATAATTGTCTTAAAATGTTAATTTTAATTAACAAAGGTTGGAGAAAGCGAATGCACTAAATAACATGCTGCAAGTGAGTGCAATGGACCTGAATATAGACAGGATGGTGCCTCGTTTGCCTGAAGTTGACGATACACATTTCCCACTCAAGATATCCCATGTAAGTTTTTTTCCCGTTTATCAAATTGCTTTCTAAAGTAGTTTCAATTACGAAATTAAATACAAAATTAATAACAAAGGAATTTGCTCTCGCAAACGTTCATGCTGTGAATTGAGCTTCCTGCCGAGGTTTCCCCTAGATACTACAGTATGGAGTCCTTCAAAAAGGGTATATTAAGATTTCATTAGGTTCGGCAAAATGCATGTGACACCCCTAGTGTAACTCGATGTACTAAATTAAGACATAAATGGTAAAAGGTTATTAGTATTCACGTAACATCTCCAACTATATATAGGATAGAAAAACCGAAAATGCAACATATAGCCGACGGTTACCACTTTCCATCATGTGGGCCGATAGCTCGTTTGCCATTATAAGTTGTATAAATAAAAAAAAAATATTAATTTAATTTATTCATCTTTTTAATTGTATTATAAAACATTGTATTTGCAGATCAATTGCGTAAGCAAGTTCTGGGCACAATACGACGACGAGTCGACCGCGATTGATCTGCAACAGATTCAGCAGGCGTTAAACCATGCGCCGCTGATAGCGAACACGAGCGACGTAGTCGTCGGCCGGATGTACGCCGCGCCCTATACCGAGCCCGATGGCACCGCACTGTACCGCGCGCGGGTGCTCTCACTGCTGCCCAGGGATATGGTTGAGGTGATTTTTTTTATTTATAAAAACGAGCGTAGAAACTGTCTATGCAGCCATATACAGGGTTTTTAATGGATGAAAATGGAATGGTAACCCCGCTTTCGCTATCGGTTTACTCTGGCGAGGTACCAGTGAGAGATGATAGGTGAGGATGAAGCATGTCAATTGGCCCATTGTGATGAATTCTTCAAAAATTAATCACGATGATTTCCAAGGGGAAACACCTGGAGGCCAAACTGTTAAAGTATATTGCTAGTAATGGGCCTGTTAGATCACATTAGTAATAATTCCATTCCCTCATAAAAAGTATACCTTACTGTCCGTAACAATCTATTAACGTCTCTCTACTACTCTTTTTTGGAGGAGGTTAATAGCCATCTATAACCACACTGGCCAAACAGTTTGGTATAGTGTTCAAGGTTTTTGTTTAGCATTATATGGTACTTCATTCCCTTAGTTATAAATGTGGTGACACATTGTACTTTTACTCTAACATCACATCAGAAACTTAAAGACCTGATAATTAACTTAAAGCTGAAACATAATTTAAGTTCCGAAAGCTATGCATTCTTTTTTCGAATATTTAACACAAAATTCTGATTGAGATCAGGTCCAGAATGGAGCAGTGAAATACTACTACAAATTAAACACTTCCCAAAATGTTGATGAAGAGTATGTCTACATATATAAACCATACAATTAACAAGTTTTTATTGCAATTTTTTTTATACAACTTAGAATGGTAAACAAGCTGACGGCCCACCTGATGAAAAGTGGTAACCGTCGCCTATAGACATGAGCAGTACCATGGACATAACAGAGTATACTGTTTCGCCCATGATACCCCCCATGCGTTGCTATTCCTGAGGACTCAGGTGTTATTCCTCTGTACGAGCTTTAAAAATATGAAACGATTAAGAAAACTATGATGTTTTCAGCTGTTGTACATAGACTACGGCAGCTACGGGTGCGTAAATAAGTGCAACCTGTACAAGTTGCCTAGCGGGGTGTGCCAGGCGTCACCGCCATTGGCCATGCAGTGCTCGCTCGCAGAGGTGGCGCCTTCGCCGCTGCTGGAACCCCATGGGCAATGGACTCGTACCGCTTGGGACTTTTTCTGCCAGTTCATCAAGAAAGGCCGTCTCATTGGCAAGGTCAGGTTCTTACTGAATGCATATTACAGTTCTTAGCTTCGATTTTGCCAATTAGGTTTTAAGTTGATTGATTTAGCTTGTTCAAAAAATTTATATTTACAATTGCAGTAAAAAAATATAATATAATACTATTAATTTACAAAAATAATATGAAAAATGAAATACTTTATCTGTGATTATGGTGTAGTACATACACATTTTTTTTTATAGGTTTATTCTGTAACACATGGTGTGGTATCTATCGAGTTGCTGGCCGACGGTGGCAAGATTAACATTAATCAAGAATTGTTGAAACATGGCTACGCCATATCTTGTGAAGAGAGCTATGATTCCAAAGTATGATTTATTTTTATTTTTAAATGTAGTTGTGAAGCCTGATAATAAACAATTTTAACAAGGAGGGAGAGGAGAGACAATTCCTAGTACTAAGGCTTGAGCAGCCCTATTATATCTTGTCAGTTCGACCTTCATGTGATCCGACCTCAAAACTATTGTCGTTATTACGATCTGTATCTGATGGGTCAACTCACTTAGTTCACACCTATTGTCCTAGTAAGGTACCAGTAAGGTACCCTGCGATTGTGTACTAATAAAGCCGGCGGATTGTCTTTATTTTTAATTATCATATTTTAAAAATATACGTATAATTGCACCTTTTATTTTCATACAGTTAAATCACGACCTAAGGCAGACAGCATCAGAACTACATATGACGCAGAAGCGAGCATACAACAAGGAACAGGCTGAACTAGCGTTGTACCAAATGCGCGAGTTGGACCCACCCAGTGCCAAAGACTGTATCACTGATGTGTGCCTCAAAGGTCCTTACAGGTGAGATTAGTGTAATTAACATATCTTAACTACATAACACAATTTGGGGGAGAAGGGATTGTTAGGAATAGGGATTAGCACCCCATTGCTAGCAATATACCCTAACAAATCGATTCCCACGCGGTTCTCCCTGGAAACCATCGTTATTGATTTATGATTTGTCACAATCAGCCAACTCACCGGCTGTATCCTCATCTATCATCCCTGACTGGTGCCCTGCCAACGTATACTGATAGTGCAGGTCGGGTTACCATTCTATTATCAACCATAAAAAAAAATCTCAATTTAGAGTGTTTGTAACACAATGTGCTATAAGTTATTAAAATTATTACTTAGCGTCAGTATACTGTAGTCTGTTGTGTTTTCTTTAAACATATAACAAACAATTACCGCTGCAATTGTAAGATGAATTATTATGATTATGTCGATTTCCGTGGTGCAGTGGTAGTAAAAGTAAATAAGGCCCTTAATTTGATTCCTAATTAAATTGTTATTCTGGGTTGTGCCCCCATGTTCGTTGCCTGGTTGAATGTTGGTAGATTGAGGAACCAAGACGTTTGTGTGGCACTTAAATTGAAAAGTTTTTTCATTTGCGACAGTCCTCTGGAGACGACAGTACACAATCTGATGTACGGCAGCCGTGAGAGGCAAGTGAACATCGAGTGGAACTCCGTCAACTCGGTTCTGCTCGACACTAATCCGCAAGAGGTTTACGAAAGGTATTTACTACTTCATATTAGACAATTACTTTTTTTCTAGAATTTTTCTAATTTAGAATTATACTAGACTATATAAGTAACGATAATTTTTAATGATACTTAATCCTCTCAGATTTGTACGTGATATTTTGCATTTTATTCTCAAATAAATACATCTGTTAAAGGAAAACGTTAAATTATTTTCTACAAAGGAAAGATAGACAGAATAACATGTTCAAATTTAAATTATTACTGACTTAATTCTATCCTCACTTATCACCTTTCGCTACTACCCCGCCCACCTTAACCGACAACGCAGGCGGAGTATAATTTCATTTTCATCCTTAATTTTTTTTTAACCGCCTCGCTTCTCCATAAAACCAATTAAGAAACTATCAGAATTTCATTAGTTTGTACTTTATTTGTTTCTTCCAAAATATATTGTTCCTTTTGTATGAAACAGAAGAAATTCACTCTGAATCGGACTTGTTATATCGTATCCAAAAACATGATCGAGGTCTTTGAACACTTCTAAAACTCAAGACTGATTTATTTTAACGAAATGCATTATACATAATGAGCATGTAGGTTACGGCCTAGTGTTGGTAGATTGGGTATTTTTTTCGCATTTTTGGGTAAAAATATTCTGTTTGCGAAATTTTGGATAAATGAAAATTTTATTATCCAAAAATTCGCTGTATGGTTTGAGTGTTGCCAGTTGCAGAACATGTTTGTAAAATATTTTCCTTATACTTATGAAATTAGATTGGTGGTGGCCGCGGCAGTGGGACAGAGCCCGTCGAGCAGTTCACTCACTCTTCGCCATACTACACTGATGCCCAACATACCGGGTCTGCCCGCTATTATCGCGTTGCTGTTCTGCCCAGTGTAAGTATTGATTAACTAACCGCGACTTCAGTTTGACTTTTTTTGAGTTTAAAAACATCTACATTTAATAAAACATTTCTGAATACTCACTTGGAATATACAATGAAAGTTATGCGTCTTAATTACTACAGCATGGAGTTCTTCAAAAGGGGGGTAAAGAGGTTTCTTCAGGGTCGGCAACGCACGCGTAATACCTCTGATATTGCAGGTGTTCATAGGCTACGGTAACCACTTACCATCAGGGGGGCCGTATGCTTGTTTGCCACCTCAGTGGCAACCTAAAAGTGGCAACATAAAAAAAAAATTGCTTCTTGTACTATACTATACAGCTCAGCACACTATAGGATTAAATGAGTCCCATACTATACCAAGCTTGTTAGCATAAAAAGTTGACAAAGGTCTACAGATTTTTAAAACCCATAAATATTGTTGTATACATAAGTAGCTTAACAATGTTAGGTTCAGAATAGATGATTGCTTTATGAGGTTAAAATTAGTCGAATATATCCATAGCCACATATATATGTATGTATGTTAAGAGTAATTTAAAAATCTTAATTAATTTATAAAGTTGGCCGTTCTATGACAATCAATTAAAGTTTCTTTTACATTACAATTGACAATCTCCACGACGTAACGGTAGACATGTTGCTTTCTGTAATGAGGTCTCGGGTTCGATTTCAAGTTAGAAACAAAATTTTCTATATTAGCTCGGCTCTGGGTGTACTGAGTGGGTTCCCAGATGTTCGTTCCCTGATTCCTCATAACTATCCTATCCTAGTTTAAGGACGAGGCTATTGGGGTAATTGTGTGGTATTTTTATGACGGCAGTGCGGAGTTACGTCGCGATGTGGGTGGAAGCCGCTACGTGAGTGCTCTGTGCGGGCTGGGCAGCTCAGCCGACGCCACGCCCTACTTCCCCGAGCATGACCTGCTCGTCTCCATCGACGCGGACCTGGCCGTAGAGGATATAGGCTTGGTAACGTATCGTTTAATTTATAACTGCATGTTCCTTTTTGTAACGGTGACTAGGTGGCCGCTTGATTATCCTCCTTGGAAACAATCGTGGTTAATTCCTGGTAAATTGGTCATGATGAGCGTACTGACCTGACTTCATCCTCACCTGTACTCACTGATACTTCACCAGCATATGCTAATAACACAAGCTGGATTGTTGATCCATTTTATTCTTTTTAAAATACTGCTTGTGCTTTGAGGGTAAAGAGAAGTATTGTTGGTGACGGGGACACTCAATATTTTTTTTTTATACAACTTAAAATGGCAAACGAGCTGACGGCCCACCTGATGGAAAGTGGTAACCGTCGCCCTTAGACATGAGCAGTACCATGGACATAACAGAGTATACTGTTTCGCCCATGATACCCTCCATGCGTTGCCATTCCTGAGGACTCAGGTGTTATTCCTCTGTACCCAATAAATTCACGCCAATGTGTGCCATGTATACCTTTATGTTTACTTACTTTTGTGGCATAAAAAATATATATACACAGTGCTACATCTATAGATTGCAGAAATATCTATCAAAATCGGTTTTGTATTGGCAACATCTAATATTATTGGACATCCTCATACCTTAACCGGTTTTGCCTGATTTTACTCTTATTATGAGTGGCACTGCTTTGTAGAATTTACTGTCTTGTACTGTTTCCATTGACCTTGTCAGTCATTTTAGGGGAAATACTACTCTATTAATATTAATGAAAAAATAGACCCAGTCCCAGTATTGCTATCAATATACCCTATCAGATCGACCTCCACGCAGTTCCCCTGGAAACCTTTGTGACTAATTTATCGTTGAATTCGTCATGATGGGCTAACTGACCTGTATACCGAGGGCGTAGACGGGGCCACCATTTCATTTTCACCCATTAAAAAAAATAACAAATAATTTTTAGCTGTTTATATTACTGTAGCTGTTGAAAGTTTTGTATGGTACGAACACTACTTATTGCGCAGATGGTCGATACGCATAATGTATTTAGATCATGCTACTTTATCAAATATGAAGTGATGTGTTTTACACTGTAAATAAAACGGTCCGTAATAAACTCTATTGCATTGCATCATGGCTGTGTTTACATCGGTAATATGAAATAATTGAAATCAATTGAGATGTATCTGTGTATTAACATTGTAAATTTATCGCGAGCAGTGATTTAATTTTTCATGAAACTTTGCATCACTTTATTGTTTCTTTGTTTACAATTATGATTGATAGAAACACTTAGAACTCTAATAGTGCAATCATAAAAGACGTTTTATGTTTGTTAACTCTTTTAGAAAGAAGTAGAAGAATAATATTAAATATTATACTGAACTTGGTGTTATTTTGCAGAATTCTGTATCACTAGTTATTTGATTAGAATTAATTTGTTTAATTTCACCGCCATTAGTACGTGCGTGACTGCTAATACTCGAAGATTGACTACTTTTATTATTACATAATATTAAAGCTGTTCCCGTGTGGTCCCGGCATAGAATAGGTCACCCCTTCCTTTCTCGTGAGTGTCGTAACAGTTGACTAAGGGAGAGCGAGGGATGGGTACCAGCGTCCTTCTTAAAACATCTCCAAAGCCTAACTGCGGTTGCTAATCTGTGCCAATCCTGCCAAGCGTGGCAGCTACTGGCAAAACCCTCTAGGAAGAGATGGACAGATAAAAGCTGATATGATGATGATGATTAATACTTTCATTTTTCTATTAATATAATAAATATGTTAAATTTACAATTTAAACCTTAATATCCGCAATTGCTGGGAGCTTTTTGTTTATTAGAGCCGGTTTATCTTAGAGTACACTAACCCTAACACGAACTTCAAAATGCCAATAAGTTTACCACGTTTGTGGTATAAAAAAGTCTGTCTTTTAACATAATAAGTAGGGTATGAATACTGCTTCGCAGATATCATTGTCTTGCCTAATTCAGCAGTGAAACAAGAGTTTTGTATAATATATTTTTGGTTCCAATAGTAAAATAGTAAAAGTAAATGATTATATTATTTACTAGAATCTATTATGCAATACGGAAGTCTCAGAAATTAAGGTAAAAAGTGAACGACAGTGACGGATTAGCTATAACAAGAGCAGCTACAGGCTCCGCGCATTTGGGAGCTCCGTACACAAACTCTTTCTGAACGTAAAAAATATCTGAAGTAATAGGTAAAAGAAAATTTATTTATCTCTCATGATCACCAACTGCAGTGATGAACGTTCTTTTCCAACATCAAAACGTGTTTAAAATGAATTAAGGAACACGATGAGTCAAGAATGTCCTAATCACCTCACTTTGATGAATATTGAATACGATTTGTTTAGAGAAGTCAACATGAATAGTATTATTTCTAAATTTGCTCAAATTCAATCCAGAAACTTTTGCTTGTAACAGTTTTTTTTTATTTAATACAGTTAACTTTATAACCTAAAGCAAACCAAGGACCCCTTGATAGAATCTTCTAACCTTCCGCGCTGGATTAATCCGGCACTGTGTTTGGGTATGTAAGGTTTCTAAAGATTGTTTAAATTATGATGTGATGATAACAGATCAACCACGTGCGTCACCTCATGGATTACATGATGTACTGCCCCGAGGGTCAAGATACACCAACTGCAGACGACGAGTTTCGACCACAAGTGCCCGGAGTCATTCGGAAGGATATAATGAAGTGGGTATAGTGTGTATAGTATTATATAATATATTTTTAATATTATTATAACTGCTATAACTATTCGTTTACTTTCAATAACTTTTTTTATAAAGTCGAGTCTTAAGAAATGAGGACCAGAAACAATAAGAATCCTTATTGATTTTTATTAATTTTTAATCTTTTTCCCTCTTCATTCATCTTCTTTTTTTTTTCTTCATTCATTCATCTTTTAAAATGTAAGTTAAATGTGGGAAAAAGCTTTCAATTTTCTAAATACTTACTATGAGTTAGTTCCAGAGAAAGGTGATATTTTTAAAGATATTACTGTTTCATACTGAATCCTAATAAATTACCTAAAATAACGCAGTCTGCTATTAAAAAGTTGCAAGCGTCGTGAACCATAGACGATGGTGAACGCATGGGAAAAGAAATTTTGAATATACCTAAATAAAAAAAAAATCCGATAGTGAAGTCTTCAGAATATACATACATACATATCTGTCACGCCTGTCTCCCATTAGGGTAGGCAGAAACAATGGAACGCCAAATGCTTCGATTCAAACAAATCTCTTTCGCTTCTTCCACATTCATCAATCTTGTCATACACGCTCGTCGGTTACGGGTACTTTTAATTTGGCCCTTCTTCAGCACGTCGCCTATTTGGTCGACATACGTCCGTCTAGGGCGGCCCCTACCAACATCTCCATTCATTCTTCAGAATATATCCTTATATATTCTAAAGGCTTTGCTGTTCTAAAGACTTCACTATTTTATCCTAGCACTTTATATATAAACCATCCATAACATTGTTGCAGTCTCCTACTAAAACGTCGCAAGCACCGCGAACCGCAGACAGTGGCAAACGCGTGGGAGTGGAGGTCTGTCCCCGAAGATGAACTCCTCGAGATCACCGTCCCGGACATGGTGGAGCGCGCCGAAGTGTTTCCGTTGCACACGCCGCAGGAACTGCACCCACTGTCAATGGATCAGCTCCTTGTCCTCAAGCGGGACAATGATCAGCTCAAACTCATCGTCGGCAGGTAATTTTTTTTTACCGGACTGTTTAAGAAAGAAGAGTAATTAATGGCTTTCCCGTATGTGTATTGTTTTTTAAATAAAACCTACCAGAAGGAGACTTTGTACAAAAATCGATTGCTTGGGTACCTCTGTCCCATTCGTGTTTCTATCGTGAAGCAGTTGTGTTTGCATGGCTGTGTTTCGGTTTGAAGGATGGGATATGGTACAGCCTGGGTACAGCCCAGTAAATTCACGCCATATCCCAGGAATGACATCTGAGTCCTCAGGAATGGCAACGCATGGGGGGTATTATGGGCGAAACAGTATACTTTGTTATGTCTATGGTACTGCTCATGTCTATAGGCGACGGTTACCACTTTCCATTAGGTGGGCCGTCAGCTTGTTTGCCATTTTAAGTTGAATAAAAAAAAAAAAAACTTAAAATGTAATATACTATAAAATGGTCTGTCTGCTGACAATAAACAATTGAATGTTTCAAATTGTTATTAACGTACAAGATAAAGAACTTGATATTTTTATTTATGGGTTGATATTAGATTCTTTTTTATCGTGTGCTAATTGACAATGATGTTTGTGCAAAAATTTGCAATAAATTCTTTGGGTGTGTCACGTCACGTTCCCTTATACAACGTGTTATTATTTATAGTAATATTAATTAATTATCTATAAATTTGTATATGATATGGAAATTTACTGTGTGTTTTGATACATTTTAAAATAATATTTCTTTAACAGAACATCAATTTCATCGAGTACAGAGCTGTCGTGCAAGTTATGCGGAACTGCGCCAATGCCCACGCACGCGATGCGCATACATCTCTACTCGAATGCGCATAAGGAGAAAGAGGAGGATTTGCGTATTTTCCAATCTTAAATCCAAATAGGTGTATTATTTTAAATTTTATTACTTCCATTTGATTTCTCTTTAAAATTACATTTGTGCCATTTCACAATGTAAATTAGTAATAAGACAAAATATATATGTTACGGGTCAAATTTGTCTTGTAATTAAATACTTATTACTTTAGTCACTATTCAGTTATCTGTAGACGATGGTATCCTGATAACATCTACTTGTGACAAGGTAAATATATCTTATTATAAAGTAAGAATCTCAAATCGCGCTGATTTGTCTACTTATAAGTTTTCAAATAATTGTGATATTATCTTGTCGTTTTTTATAGTTGTTTGTGCACAGTGCAATTTTGTTCTATTCTCACTATTGAAAAATCCAGAATATCTGCATAATGTGCACACCCCTATTAATAAGATTTGAACTTTGTTATGAAAAAAGAAAAAAACTTTTGTTGATTTTGTGTTTACGCAACTTTTTTTGTTGTCAGATTTATGGAATAAAGACTGATTAATTATATATATGTGTAGTTTTATTTATAACTAAATGTGAATAGCCATCTTGGTATTCCTTAGAAAAAATGTGATACCTAGTTGAAATGTAAGTAAAAGATCCTAAGAAAAGTAATGTTATGTATTATGCAAATTTGATATATTTTTTGCATACTTTGACAAAAAAGTATGATAGCATTTATTCCATCTGCGCAGGACTTGCGTTATATTAGTGGATGTAAAGTTGATACCATAAAGGTGAGTAAAATTAGAAATTGTGATCGAACGTCCCGTGAGCGTCGTAAGAAACGACTAAGGGAGGGCGAGAGATGGGCAGCAGCGCCCCTCTTTAAACATTTCTAAAAGCCTAACCGCAGTCGTCAACACGCGTGCCAAGGATGGCAACTACCAGAAACGCCTTATGGGAAAGGCTTATGTCCAGCAGTGGACAGTTAATGGTTGAAATAATAATAATAAATCCAAATACCACAGAAATATCTAAATTTTTTCTGCGGCTAATTTATCTACTATATTTTATATAAGATTGTGTTTCATAAAAGCTTATAGGTGCATATAATTTAAACTACTGAATCGATTTTGATAAAATTTCTGTGGAACCAATCTGTACATCCTATCAGAAAAAAAAATCTAAATCAGTTTATGATTGACGGAGGTATGAGGCGATAAAGTGACATGATGTATAATGAAGTCACATAATTTTTTTAAATATTACCTACATATAATTGAAATGACAAAATTATACGATAATTTTAGCTGTATTTTAATAAAATATATTTGCGTGCTACACACAACGGCCCAAATAAGAGGCTAAGCGCGAAAAAGAGAGTCCAATTTACATTACGTTTACAATATTTGCATGCCTACATCGTTTAAAGCATTTGAACAAATGCCAAACATAGTACTACGTAGCCTATGTTAGAAATTTTGAGACTTTAATGCAAATAAACTCATTAAAAAAAAACAAAATATTAATTGTGAACCTCCTTTTTAAAGTCGGTTGAAAATAAAAATATAGCTTTAATTATCAATAAAACGAATGAAAAATTATCTTATTAATTACATATATACCCTCTTATCAGAAGTCGCGAAATGTAATTATAGATCAATTGAAAGTGGCATAAACCACAAACATGTTTTACGATCCACGAAGGTAGTAAAACTCACCGTCATCTCTCATAAATCTTTCTTCCATTTAAATGTTTTAGTGGTGGTCGTGTAAATATATACCTAGATATAACCATCTATATACATGTTCTAAAATTTAAAATGCGCGAAACAACTATCTTAATAATATTTGTTATCGACAATTTATTATTGCAGCAACAACGTGTTCCTTCACAGTCTGTGTGCAAATGTAATTAGAGCTCTATTGAAACCTGCTGAACAAGTTTTCGAGCTATGGTTGTCTCTCATTGGAAAATTATATAAGCACTTTATAGCAAAAGTTTGTATTTACGGAGTAGGTAGAGTTATTCCGTGATTGCGGAGTAGGTAGGCGTATTAACAGCTCTTAGAATTAGGGTGTATACAATTTGAACGGCCTTTGCGAAGTAAACGAATCTCTGTAGTAACCGTCGCCAGGTACTTACCTGATGAATAGATGGTAAGAACATCTGTTTAAAAAAAAACGCAAATACCACGTGTTTGCAATTGTCAAGGTATGATCATTTATGCATTATTGTGTTCTCGTTTTTATTACCGTTAGTCAGGTATAAATGTTTAGACTGAACGGATTTGTGTTGTATTTGTGACGTTAAAAATTCCAGTGATTTATTCAGTTTTTATTATAAATATCGTTCAATATAGATCTACTTACATAATTAATATCTATATCTTTTGATACGATTACTTTTATAGCTATTTCTTTTTGGTAGCGGTCCGATTTGCCGCTGAAATTTGAAAAAACTTAAACAATTTGTACAGGTGTGACTGCGGCATTGAATAAATACATTTGACAGCAATGTGGAAAACGCGTGAGGATTTGAATCAATTAATGCAGTGAGTATCCGTTACTTTTTTGTGTATATCTATAAAATTGCGATATGTTGATGATGGAATTTTATCTTAATAATGTAATAAAATTGTAAATAGATTATTTATTTATTTATTTAGTCATAATTATATACAATAATTGCGTTAATTTCTGTCACTTATAAATTTTAAACCATGCAACACGAAAGTCTATTTTTGTTTCTGAAAATGTGTTCTGTAGAAATTGCATTCTGGTACTGAAAAAATATCTCCGACTCTGATCTCTCTTTAGCGATTGACAGCTCTTTTGAACAATTCGACTGCAGTCCGGAAATTCTGAGGTCCAATTCCAGCCTAAACTAATATAAGATAATTAAAAATAATCGTCATTTGTTTTATGTGCCTCGTAAGAAGCTTTTATGTATATTTTTTACTCTGGTTTAACAAATGAGGTGTTACTACGTAGGAAAGTACTAAAACTTTAAGCAAAAATTATAAAGTACCTCTGAAAATAGAGCGTATTCATCTAACTATTTGTTGAACACAGTAAGACGATTCTGAACTGTTTTATTAAACACCCCCTGATTACGAAGATAAGTTTAGGGATTGAATTCAATTTTTGTAAGTATACAGTCCTAGGTAAATGGTAAATTAATAAATATATCGGTAGATACGATTTCGTTACAGCATACATTGGATTAGGACGGGGGGATAGCACGTTGACTTGACTACTCTCGCTCGAAACTTAAAACAAAAAAATGAAAAGCGATCCTTATACAATGTGATAAAATTTGAAGTTTGTGAATATGTGTTCAAGTGTGTTGGTTATTTTTAAACGGCTGAATGGATTCAAATAAAATTTGGTGATCGATTTTTCAGTCACTTGAAAACCTATTCGGGGAGTCCCATAAGGGATAATGGGTGCTTATGGAAAACCATAATGTTCTAAAATGCTGTGCAAATGATAGGTATTTAATAATTATAGATACAGTTATTGTAAGTATGGTAACTAATATATCATTTGCGGTTGTAAGCTTGGTTGTAGTTAAATAATATACTATTCTGTTTCACTGAGCCAATACATAATATATATGTGTTGTTTATGTAGGTATATACAATTATTATTGTAATACTAGTGTGAAATTTGATTAAATTTAACTAATAATAATAATAATAATATAATTTATTTGCTCAAATGTGGGTATTACAGATGTTACATTAATAGGTTATTACGCCTCCATATTTTACCATAAATGGCGTGCAAATCTTCTCTTAATATAAATATTACTCAATTTCATATGTCACAATGTCTTCATTATAATAGATTACAGAAAAAAAAAGAAAATCACTACATCAAAATTTGTCTTGTCTCTTGTCTCATGAGAATACAACGCAGTCATTTATCGTTTGTTTAATTTTTAAAACTATCTGTCATATATTCATTTAGAGTGTAGTATGCTTTGTCAATTAGTATCTTCTTTAGTTCCTTCTTAAATAGATGCAAATGATTAATGTCTTTTATATATTGGGGCAATTTATTGTATACTTTCAGACCCATGCAGAATATACTATTATTGTATACTGTTGTGTTACACTTTGTGACTCGAATAATATGACAATGTCTTTTGCTTTTTAGAGTTTCATAATCAGTAATATTAGATTTTATTAAAACTGCAGCTTCATAGAGATAAAGTGAGGGAAATGTCAAAATTTTCAATTTCTTAAAACATGGCTTGCACGACTCTGTTTCCTGTATTCCACATATGGAACGAACACATTTTTTTTGCCTTTTAAAAGCTTTTTCTCTTCCTGAGGAATTTCCCCAATAAAGAATTCCATACTTGAGCGTTGAGCCTGCAAACGCATGATAAGCGCTCAGAAGTGCACATTGATTAGCTACTTTTCGTAACAAGTAAAGTGCATAGGAGTACTGATTTACTTTTGTACAAACGTGATCAATCTGTGTTTTCCAAGTCATATCAGAGTCAATATGAATACCTAAAAAGTTAATACAATTAGCTTCCTTAATTTTATTCCCCATATAATTAATATTTATATTATTCAAAATTTTATTTTTGTTTTTAAATGTCATAAAGTTAGTTTTGTCTATGTTCATCTTTAGGTTATTAGCTTCTAGCCAGGAGACCATGTCTTTTAATGAGTTATTTATATCCTCTTCGTAAAGTTTGGGATCGTCATTAGTAAAAATTGCTGTGCTGTCGTCAGCATATAGGATCATTGGATGAGTAATAGCTTTAGGCAGATCGTTAATATAAATTAGAAACAATAATGGCCCTAATATGCTTCCTTGAGGTACCCCGTATTTTACAGTTCTTTGTTCAGATTGATATTTCGTTTCAGTGTTATTATTTGTTTTTATTCTAGTTATTTCTGTAATTTGTTTTCTGCCTTGTAAATATGATTTTACAAGGTTAAGTACATTTCCTCTGATCCCATATATCTCCAATTTTCCAACGAGGATATCACAATCTACATGGTCGAAAGCTCTAGTCATATCCATAAATAAAGCAGTTGTATTCTTTTTATTATCTAGATTACTCATAATTTTGTCTAAGAATTTATGGACAGCTAAATTTATTGACTTTCCCTTTCTAAATCCGAATTGTTCATCTGTAAGAATTTTATTTTTCTCAAAGAAATCATACATAGACCTGTAAATAACTGTTTCAAAAATTTTTGATATTATTTGTATTAGTGCGATAGGTCTATAGAATTGGATTTTTTCTCTATCATTCTTTTTAAATATCGGTTTAATTACAGAGACTTTTAGTTTGCTGGGAAATACGCCATTTTCTATGCTTCTATTAATTATGTGGCTAATCACTGGTGATATGATACTAGACACATATTTAATTACTTTTGTGCAGATACCATCATACCCTGTACTTTGGGTATTTTTTAGATTTTTTATTATGTTTTCAATCTCATGAGAGTTAGTAGGAGCCATGAAACAAGAGTTGCTGATTCTCCCTGTTATCCTTCTTAAGTATTTTACGTCAGTACTGTGAGATTTCTGTATGTCATCAATAAAAAAATTGTTGAAAGCTTGCGCAATATCTTCAGGCTTTGAGATATATTCTCCATTAACTATTATTTTTTGAATTTCCTCCGGAGGGATATTTTCATTTTTACTGTTAATAATATTCCATACCGCTTTTGATTTGTTAGTGGCCGTCTCAATTTTATAGTTGTTTTGTGATTTTTGTGTCAATTTTATAATCTTCTTTAATCTTTTAGAGTATTCAATAAAATTACTTTTCTCAATTTCTTTACGTCTATATCTGTATAAGAGTTGTCGTTTCCTTTTTGTACATATTTTTAAGCCTTTGGTGAGCCATTTTGCTCGATGACAGATTCTTAATTTTATTTTTTTCCATGGAAAACAAAGATCATATAGTAATTTGAAATCATCTATAAAAGCATTATACGCTTTTTCTGGATCGTCATATTTATATACCATACTAAATGACAGTTGTTTAATATAGTTTTTAAATTTAGTCATATTTTCTTTGCTATATTCTCTTATCCATTTATACCAATAGCTCACGAGAAAGCTCTTTTTCACTGGACATTGCATTAATTGTGCAGTATGGTCTGATAATCCTAGATCTAGTATAATTGTCTTAGAGTTTCTTATATTATGGGCAAAATTGTCTATACATGTTCCACTACATAATCTGGTAGGTTCATTTAGGGTCAATTTGAGATTGTATGAAATTAGTATTATTATTAAGTTTCTTTATACTATACTTATACTTATACTTTATACTATTCTTTATACGATACTAGGTATTATTATTAAGTTTCTTTAGCTGTTCGAACCATCTTCGATTCGATAGAAAACTATTTCAGTTTCTCAAAGGTTGACTGTGAGAAATCCATCTACGGGATAAATCCGACGTTGGATATGAAATCTTTTTAACATGTCCAATGTAAAGTATGTACAATAAAGATTTTACAATACAATACAATGATTAAGCGGTTCTGTTCTACCATATATATTAATTTATAACTTCCAAGTAGAGTTTAAAAATTTTGTGTTTCCAATAGATTAGTAAGTAGGCTAATGTTTGTTTAAACTAATATTTTAATAATTGGATTTATACAGAAGATCATTCTTTAAAATTATCTAAAAAAAAAATTATAGTTTATCGAATTACGTAAGTGTAACATTTTTATATTACGGGATGTCAACAGCTTACTGGTCCTTACAAAAAATATATTTGTAATAATAAAATTGAAATTTTAGTTTTAGAAATACAAAATAGCGCTTTGAAATAGACATGATACATACATAAATTTTATGTAATATTTTTATGGCTTTAAACAACAATACTATACCTATTGAAATGTATACTTAATTACATTCATTAATTATGGTATTGTAGTAATCACGCACTGAAAAAATGCTATGTAGATTGTTACAGTTTACGTAAATGGTTAAATTTGTCTAAACATTGTTAAAAATTGACCGTGTTAGTGACCTTTCTGCCATTCTGATAACACCATACTTGTATCTCATGTATATATTCCTCTTAATTTTATGGTACATGAACACATAGAATACTAAATGATAAGAGATAGATACTATATGAGCCGATAACCGCAGTTGGACGTATTTGCCTCCAACTCGCTGGAGTTTCGTCGGATGATGTGTTTTTTTTATACAACTTAGAATGGCAAACAAGCTGACGACCCACCTGATGGAAAGTGGTAACCGTCGCCTAAAGACATGAGCAGTACCATGGACATAACAGAGTATACTGTCTCGCCCATGATACCCCCCATGCGTTGCCATTCCTGAGGACTCGGGTGTTATTCCTCTGTACCCTGTAAATTGACGCCATATCCCACCCTTTTTTTTTTTTTTTTTTTACAACACAGGGGGCAAACGAGCATGCGGCTCACCTGATGGTAAGTGACTACCGCCGCCCATGGTCACCCACAACACCTACGGCATTGCAGGTGTGCTGCCGGCCTTTTAAAAAGGAATATGCTCTTTTCTT